GTACAGGAATGACAGACCTGTTTGCACAATCTAAATTGCACGACTGCTTTTTTTTTTTGCAAAGGTGTCTGCCCTGCGCTGTCTGTATTCTGCACGTTACTTCGCCAGACGAGAGAGGCTTGACGCTGCCGTATATTTACGGTGCCTTTGCCTGGCTACGGTAAAGGGTGGGGGGGGGTGTGTGTGGAGCAATGGAGGGGGGCAATGGGGCGACGGGACTGTCAATAACCTTGGTCGCCGATGCTGGTGTTTCATAGGTGGTCGTGAGCTTCACGGCTGTGGGCTGCACGGGTGCGTGTTGCGTGCGTGCGACGTGCACGTAGAGATAGATGGGGTTTCACGCGCGCGCGGGAGGCTGCACGGGCGCACTTTGCCCGCGTCAGCTGCGCTGGTGTGAGCCGCTGCATGTCGCTGCGCGCGTGGGGACTGCACGGTTGCCGGCTGCGTGAGTGTGAGCGTCCAGGGCCTGAGGAGGGAGGGTGTTAGGCCCCGAGTGAGACCGCGATCACAGCCAGGCTGAAGGAACAGTGACCCAGAGATGGGAATATCATATAAATGCTGCATCTGGCATCATGTGTTTGCCAAAAAGGTTATAAATAAATAAAATCCTTGAGTTTGATACAGCGGCTAATGACTTTGGAACGTCCCAAAGTCCTTCCCGCTCACACACGAGCGCTTTGACGTGTAGTGACTGGTCTTTTGGGCACGGGGCCACAGCCAATCTGCCCTGTTGACATCCTGCCCGCGGCTGATGGAGCCTGAGGCGGGAGTGAGTTTCAGGGAGAGAGAGAGAGAGAGAGAGAGAGAGAGAGAGAGGAGAAATCAGAAAGCGCTTCGTGTGATACAATGTGAAGCGGAGTGACCGTGTGTTTTGTGGGCGAAACGCGGCAGCCGATCGCGCACAGCAGCGTCCCCACAAACAGTGGTGGATCGAGTCCAATTTGTGCGCAGTGTCGAACACAGGTCGCTTACCCCCACTAACGCTGCACGGGTCTTGCCTCAAACCTTCCTCCTGGACCGTGCCTCCGGTCACCCTCCCACCCCCACCCTCCCCGCCCTTCCACCACCTCCTGAACCCAACCCCCGGCTCGAATCCTTGATGGTCCGGCCTTTTGGGGGACATTTTCCAGACTTGAAAGGCGCTGTGTAGATATGATGGGTCAGAGGTAAAGGGATGTGGGTTTAAGATGCACTTAGTCTGGGGTTAGACACTCAGAACTTGGCCCAACCTCTTGTCCTAGAAGCGAAAGCCCAACAGAATCAGCCACACACGGTTCATTCAGAGAAGCCACACAACAGCTTTAGACCCGTCATATGAGTAATGGTGAAGCGAGAACTAACTGAGTGAGTTAACAAACCGGAATCTAATTGAGGCTTTCGGGTCAGCCGCGTCGCTCAGGCTCCAATGCAGTCCCGCAGCAGATCCCACATCCATCCCAGTGCATCTGTCGCATTTCTGTAGCAGCTTGAATAATGGATGAGGCGAGGCTGGAGAGCGCCTCAAACGCCAGGCAGAGACACAGAGAGGAACAGTCAGTACCGGTTCTACAGACCACAGCAACACCCTGAGTTTCCCCTCCGCCCCGCACCCCACCCCACTCACCCTCTCACTCCCCCTCTCACTTCCCCTCCAGCCTCTTGAAACACACTCCGAGCAAATTGGGCAATAGGTCACACACACACAGTCACTGTCGCCGTAAACGGGCACTTGATGTTTATAATAATAATAATTCTTGCATTTGATATAGCGCTTTTCACGTCTTCTCGACGCCCCAAAGCGCTTCTCAGAACACACTGTAAAGTGAATTGACTGTATATTTGTGGGCGAACGCGGCAGCCAATTGCGCACAGCAATGTCCCACAAACAGTCACGGATTGAAAATGACCAATTTATTATTGTTTTTGGTTTTGGAGGGATTATTATTAGGCTCTGTGTGGAGTAAGGAAACTTGCCCGAGGTTTCGCCCTCTGCCGGGGATTGAACTCAGGTCTCTCACTTGCAAAGCGAGTGCTCCAACCACTGAGCTACAGGACTCCACAGGACTTATACACAGTAAAGCTCCCTCTACGCTGTGCATCCGTCCACACTCCCAGATCAGGGAGTAAAGCTTCCGGGTAACGAACAAGTAAAGTTCACCAGAAAGAAAATTCAATGAAAACAGGTTTCGTAAAATTCTTGTTTCTTTTTATCTCAAAAATGTGAAAAGTAAACGTAAAGCAAAAAAGCGATTGGTATCTCCTGCTCGGGAGACGATCTTAGACAGATCTCACAGGACACCCTCATTGCTCACTTCCCACACTCGCTTCTAGCTTCGCACCATCATTGGTCACTTTGCACACTCGCTGCTTCGTGCACTCTCACAAGGGGCACACTCAGCGCTTGATGGGACACAAATACTCACGCTCAGTGGGCACACTGGCAGCATTACGATTGCTGCCTGTGATGAGCGAGACTGACTTAGCAGCCCGGCTCCCATCGGCAGGACCTGGAAGGGGCTGAGGGCAGGGAATCCTCCCCCCTCAGCTCCCGTGAACCCTGCAGCCAAAGCCGTGAGGGTGGTCCTAGCTGGACAAGCAGCGGGAAAGCTTGGCCAGACGGTGCTCTCTCTCAACGGCAAGTTACGTGGCTTTAGCCGGTTAGACTCAAGCAGTTACCCCAACGCACACTCTGGGCTACCCCCCCCCACCCCACACAAGCCTTGGCTCCGCGCCTAACACTCTCCGGAAGTAGGTGAGCAGGGTGCGTTCCTCCAGGGATTGAGAGAGAGAGAGAGAGAGAGCCCATTCCATTCCAACAACCTATCTCTGGGATTTCCATGGGAGGCCTGGAATTCTCAGGTGCGTTCGGAGGCTCTTAAACAACGGCGATGGGTATTACGCTCGTCTCAGACACCCGACTGACCCCCAAATAACCCAACCTAAGGGTCCATGGAACCCGTCGAAGGTCAACGTCAAACAAGTGAAGGAGATGAAGCACAATAGCCCCACCCTGTGGCGAACTGGTGGACTGACCCTACTCTAATCATTCACTTACAATAATAATAATAATAATAATAATAATCCTTGCATTTGATATAGCGCCTTACCACGTCTAACTCTGAGCGGGGTATAAACTCTCTGCAGTTGAGACAACTGAGAGAGAGGACCTGATAGAGGGGGTTTAGGATTGCGAAGGGATTTGATGATGTGAATGCTGACAATGCTATTTCCACTTGTTGCGGAGTCCCATAGCCACAGGACATAAATATAAGATGATAATAATAATTCTTGCATTTGACAGTGTGCATTATCAAGTAGTTGAGTCGTCTCAAACCGCTTCAATATATTGCAGGATAAGCCGGATGTATGATGTATTGTAAATAATAATAATAATAATAATAATCCTGGCATTTGATATAGCGCTTTTCACGTCGGGAGGACGTCCCAAAGTGCTTCACAGAACACACTGTAAAGTGAATTGACTGTATATTTGTGGGCGAACGCGGCAGCCAATTGCGCACAGCGATGTCCCACAAACAGTCCTAAGTAAGTAAGTAAATAAGTAAGGAAGTAAGGAAGGAAGTAAGGAAGGAAGGAAGGAAGGAAGGAAGGAAGGAAGGAAATAAGCAAGCAAGTAAGTAACTGAAGTAAGTAAGTAAGTCCTGTTGTAGTTCTAACAGACAATTTGGAGGAAACATCATCACATAGAATGTGGTGAGACTGTGGAACTTACTGCTGGAAACTGTGGTCGGAGCAGAGACACATGCATAAGGACAGTAAATAATAATAATAATAATAATCCTTGCATTTGATATAGCGCTTTATCGCATCTTTGAGACGTCTCAAAGTAGGAACCCGGCTATTAGTCGATTGGCAGATCGCTTCCCGGGGGGTAATAATCCCTTCAAAAAAAAAAGTAATAATAATTTGGTCACTCGATCCACGGCTGTTAGTGGGATGTTGCTGAGCACAATTGGCTGCTGCGTTTCGCCCCAACTATACAACACAGTCACAAGACTTCACAGTGTATCCTGTGAAGGGCTTTGAGACGGCTTGACTCAGCGCCTTGGGACGTCCTCCCGACGTGACAGGCGCTCTGTAAATGGAATCTTGTTGTTGTTGTTGTTGACGACGTGATGAGGCGCTGTATCAAACCCAAGGATTTTTTTTATTATCATAAAGCAATCAGCAACAACAACATCAAAATTACCCAAGGCGCTGGACAGTCAGTCTTTTGGACCCAAGCTGGGTTGGGGGGGGGGGGGTCGGGATCCTGGTGGGTGTGGGAGGCAGAGGGCATGGACGGTTGTGGGGGGTGGGGTGGGGAGTGATGGAGGACGATCGAAAAAGTGGTCGAATAGGAGGATCTATATGAGATGGGTCTTGGAGGAGGCAACAGAAGGAAGGAAGGGGTGGGGGGGTTGAGGCGGAGGGAGTTGGAGGGTTTGGTGGTGGTGGTGGGGGCAGAAGGTTCGCCCGCCAATGGTGGGGTGTGGTGGGGGGGTTTGGGTGGGGGTGGGGGGGGGGCGAGACGGGATGGCGTGGGGGTTTGGGGGAACGTGAAGGAGGACCGAGCCCGCTGAGCGGAGGGAGGAACGGTGGGGGGGGGGTGGGATGAAGCCTCCCTGTAGGTTGGTGGGTGGGGGGGGGGGGTGATGGGGGTGGTGGGGGGGTTGAGGTTGGGTTCGGAGGTCGCAGAGGTAGCCGTGGGGGTGGGGGCGGGGGAGTTGGTGGGGGGGAGGCCATGAGGGGGGGGCGTTGAAGTCCCATTGGGATGGAATCCCATTGGGTTGACCAAAGTTGCCTCCAAAGCGGTTGGAGGTTGACCATCCCGCGGCACTGCGCAGGCGCGGTCGTTGCCAGGCGACGCGTGGGCGGGGCCAAGAGTGAGGGGGGCGGGGCTCAGGGGGAGGGGCGGGAGCAGGCGGAGAGGAGACGCCGAGCTGTGATTGGTCGGTGCTCAAACCCCGCCCCCCTGGTTTCCCGGCATGCTCAACGCCCGCCCCCGATTTCCCGGCGTGCCTCGGGACAAAGAAGGCCGAAGATGGCGGCCGACGTGCAGCTGCTGTGTCTGGCCTCCAGCAGTGGGGTCCCCCTGTACTGCAGGAGCAAGGGGCGCTGCAGACAGGTAACCCCACCAACCCCCCCACCCTCCTCCCCCTCCCTCAAACTACACACTATAATGGCTGCTCCTCACCTCGTTATTGCCCCCTCCCCCACATACTTTTTTATATTAAAAATATTTGTGTCTATTATCTAAAATAAATACTAATAATCCCCAAACTACGCACTACAACGGCTCCTCACTTAGTTGTTGGCCACATACCCTCTCCCTCCCCCACCCCCTCCACCCCCATAACATACTTATTTTAAAAAATATATTATTTCTATTTATTATCCCGAATAAATACAAATAATCCCCAAACTACACACTATAATGGCTGCTCCTCACCTAGTTATTGTCCACAAACCCTACCCCACCCCCCAACCCCACCCCTACCTCCCCATAACATTTTTAAAAATAGCATTATTATTTATATTTATTATCTAGAATATAAATAATTAAATCTACATTTATTGGGGGGGGGGAGAAGGGGGATGTGGGTGTTGTAAGTGTAAGAATATCCCCCCCCCCCCCCCCCCACTCTGGTTGTTTTGTGTTTCACTCACAAAATACACAGTCAATTCCACTTTACACTGTATCCTGTGAAGCGCTTTGAGACGTCTCGGAGATGTGATGAGCGGCTGTATCAATTGCGAGGGTTATTATTGTTCACTAGCGCAGGGTTTAGAGCGCTCGCCTCGGAAGTGAGAGAACCCGGATTCGATTCCCAGGCAGGACAACATCTTAGGCAAGTTTCCTTACTCCGCACACACACACGCGCCTCTGTTTACTCAGCAGTAAGTAGGAACCCGGTTGTTAGTCGATTGACGGATCACTTTCCAGGAGGTAATAAAACCCTTCCAAAAAATAAATAAAATACAAATCATAATAATAATTTGGTCCGCTCGATCCACGACTGTTCGTGGGACCCTGCTGTGCGCAATTGGCTGCCGTGTTTCACTCACAAAATACACAGGTCAATTCACTTTACGGTATAATCTTTGAGACTTCTCAATAGTAATAGTAATAGTAATAATAATCCTTGCATTTGATAGAGCACTTTTCACGTCGGGAGGACATCCCAAAGCGCTTCACAGAATATACTGTAAAGTGAATTGACTGTATATTTGTGGGCGAACGCGGCAGCCAATTGCGCACAGCAATGTCCCACAAACAGTCGTAGATTGAAAATGACCAATTTATTATTGTTTTTGGTTTTGGAGGGATTATTATTAAGCTCTGTGTGGAGTAAGGAAACTTGCCCAAGGTTTCACCCTCTGCCGGGAATTGAACCCAGGTGTCTCACTTGCAAAGCGAGTGCTCTAACCACTGAGCTACAGGACTTAATGATGGGATAAGACTCTTATCAAATGCAAGGATTACTATTATAGTTCCCAAAGCACTTCACCGGCAAAGGCAGGTCAGCCTGAATCTGTCGGTCGTGCTCTTGCCTCTCGAGTCGGGAGGATAATACTAATAATCCTTGCATTTGATATAGTGCCTTATCGTTGATGAGACGCTTCGAAGCACTTCATAGAATTTATGGTAAAGTGGATTGACTGTATTTTGTGGGCTAAAATGCGGCAGCCAATTGAAATTTAAGTCAAGGCTCCCTACCTCACCCCATTCCATGTCGGGGATTTGGAACTCACAGGGTCTAAGGTGGCCCTAGGATGCAGTGCTGGGGGTGTGCTGCCTTGTTGGAGGTGTCATCCTTCGGTTGAGACATTAAACCAAAGTCCCGTCTGCCCATCTAGGTGAACAATAAAGGTCCCTTGTGTAGTATAGTCACCTTCAAACTCTTCCACGGTCTTGTTCCCCCTACCTCTCTGACCTCCTAACCCCAGATCAGCCTGTCCGCTCCCTCTGTTCGGCAGACAACAGCCTTCTTCAGCTCCCCTGCCCTTCCTGCCCCACCATTGGCGGTTAGGCATTCAGCATCTCTGCCCAGTCACTCTAGAACTCTATCCCACAATCTCTCTGCCTCTCTTGCCTCCTTCAAGTCCTCTTCGGCCACCCTCCAACTCCCACCCCCATCTTCCAATCTCCGCCGCTCCTGACCCCAACAACCAGTTTCATTGGGACGTCTCAAAGTGCTTCACAGATATCCTATAAAGTGTAGTGATTGTGTGTTTTGTGGTCACTCAATCCACAACTGTGGGTTCCTACTTAACGCTGGTAAACAGGCGTGTGGGTGGAGTAAGGAAACTTGTCCAACATTTCACCAACCGGGAATATCAAGTCCTCGCTTGCAAGGCGAGCACTCTAACCACTGAGCTACAGGAGTCCTTGCTATAATAATCCTAGTTATCATTCGATAGCTCATCTTGGCACCGAGCAGCTTTATGTTCTGTGTGTCTTGCCTTCACAGTTGGGTCTGCAGTCAGTAACTGAACCTCGTTCCTGTTATAATCTCTGTCCTCTCCTCTCCAGCTTCCCTTTTCTGTGATCGGGTCACTGAATGGGGTGCACATGTTTGGCAGTAATCAGGACGTATTGCTGACCAGCACTTGTACCGAGAACGCCCGGGTTTTCTGGAGAGTATTTCACGACAGGTGAGGCTGAGCAGCAGTGGCAGAGCAAGTTATTTTATCACTGAGTCCCTCCTCACTAGCAGTAAGTAGGAACACGGTTGTTAGTCATTTAGTGGATCGCTTTCCTGGTGTAATAATCCCTAAAAAAAAATCGCTCACTCAATCCACGATTGTTTGTGGTGACGCTACTGCGCGCAATTGGCTGCCACTTTACGCCCTCAAAATATACAAGCCAATTCACTTTGCAGCATATCCTGTGAAGCGCTTTGAGATGTCTCAATGACGTGGTAAGGCGCTATATTAAATAATAATAATAATTATCCTTGCATTTGATAAAGAAACTTGCCCAAGGTTTCGCCCTGCCTGGAATTGAACCCAGGTGTCTCGCTTACAAGGCGAGTGCTCTAACCACTGAGCTACAGGACTCCACGCATCCCCTTCCCCTCTCTGGGACTGTCAGAAACGACCCCTCACGATTCCAACCAGGAACACCAACAACATACAAATTACATTTCTAGATCGCCTTTCACTAAACCCCAAAACTCTCTCCATCAATCCCTCCGCCTTGCCCTCTCCCAACCCTACTTTAAAATCCTACCTAAAGACTTTCCTTTTCGATCATGCTTACAGTCACCTCCCCCCCCACTTGCCTCTTCCCCTTGGCTCAGGGTCAGATTCCACCACCGTCAAGCGCTCCGGGACGCTATCCCATGCGAAGGGCGCTCTATAAACGCAAGTTGTTGTTGAATTGTTGTCAGGCCGGACAGTAGACAGTTGAAGGAGCTGTGCTAACACCTTGTTCTCCCACTTCTCCAGCATCACTCTGATCGTTATGACCTCCCAGGTAGACGCAAGCGATCTTTACCTGAGTCGCCTGCTGCATAATGTCTTCAGTTCCATGGTGAGTGTGTCCGTTAGCAGGCACTACAGAAAACCTCACGAGTCCTTATCATTGGGACCACACATTTACTGTAATATGCAAAGTATGAGTTACATACTTTGCATATTACAGTCAATTCACTTTACAGTGTGTTCTGTGAAGCGCTTTGGGACGTCCTCCCGACGTGAAAAGCGCTATATCAAATGGAAGGATTATTATTATTATTATTTCATCAAAACTTGCATGAATATCAACTCTCGAACAGGACTTGGGCTACAATGTACGACTTACAATCTTATGTGCTAGTTGGAAGAGCTACCCATTCAGTCCCACTCCCCTGCTCTTTCCCCATATCCTCGCAAATTTTTCCTTTTCAAGTACCAATCCAATTCCCTTTTGAAAGTTATTATCGAATCTGTTTCCACCAGCCTTTCAGGCCGTGCGTTCCAGACTGAGGCGATTGTACGAATTATACAGATCAGACTTGTGCATGTTTTACCATTGATCGTGGATGTTGTCAAGTAAAGTCCCATCGCTGAACAAGAGCAGTAAGTCTCCCCTTCTCAACTTGAGATGAATCTCAGTAATGGGAGGTATTTTGTGGTCGACGTTGACATTGACCCACTGCTCCTTGTTGGCAGGTTTTGCTGATCGGCCAAGACGACCTGGTGAACATCAAGAATGTGGAGAGACTGAAGCGAGATCTTAGGGTAAGTGTGAGCTGAGGTAAGTGTGAGCAGGGGTGAGTCTGAACTTACTGTGAGCTGAGGTGAGTGTGAGCTGAGGTGAGTGTGAACCTAATGTGAGCTGAGGTGAGTGTGATTGTGCCAATTGAGCACAGTGGAGTCCCACAAATAGTGGTGGATTGAGTGACCAAATTAGTATTTTTTTTTAGGGATTATTATTCCTGGAAAAGTGATCTGCCAATCGACTGACCACCGGGTTCCTATTTACTACTAGGTTAAACGGGTGTGTGTGCAGTAAGGAAACCTGCCCAACATTTCGCCCTGGCTGGGAATCAAACTCAGGTCCTCTCGCTTGCGAGGCGAGAGCTCTAACCACTGAGCTACAGGACTCCCACGATATGAATGTGATAAACTTGTATCAGTTAATTATTTAGGTGCAGGTACTGTGCTTGCAGGCACTGGGCCGTCTTTCTGACCAGAAGGGCGCTATACAAGTGTAATTTGTTGTTGTGGTTGCAGTCTGGGAGTGTCTGTGACTTGGCTACGACAGTGAGGGCTCCGGTTCACTGTATTGAGCTCTGCAGTTCTGTGCTACTTCTCTAGTCCTGTTACAAACTCATCGACGGTTTCCTGAGTGCCACGGAGGGAGTCGGAGACCTGACGCAGAGCGTGGGCTGTGTGCTGGTCACAGACAGTGAGCGGCTGCAGGTCAGTGCAAGATGGTGCTCTGCGCTGGCGATTCTCCCCACAAGAGTCACCAGAGTCTAATCATCTCATTCCTCAGACTTTTACTATTCTTCTTTCTTCAAGCGAATCCTCACACTCAGCTCCTGTTAACCCTGCAGCCAAAGCACTAACTAACGGGTAGGGTGGTCCTAACTGGACAAGCAGCGGGAAAGCTTGGCCAGACAGCGCGCTCAAATGGACAAGCTATAGCTGGTTGAACTCCAGCAGTTACTCCCAACGCACATTCTGGGCTCCCCCAGCCTTGGCTCTCGCCAACCTGCGCCTAATACTCTCTGGAATTAGCTAAGAAGGGGACGTCCCTCCAGGGAGAGAGAGCGCGTGTATTCCAACAATCTATCTCTGGGATGTGGGGAATTCTCAGTTGGGTTTGGAGACTCCGAAGCAACGGTGATAATAATAATAATAATCCTTAGATTGGATATAGCGCTTTTCACGTCTTCTCGACGTCCAGAGCGCTTCACAGAACACACTGTAAAGTGAATTGACTGTATATTTGTGGGCGAATGCGGCAGCCAATTGTGCACAGCAATGTCCCACAAACAGTCATAGATTGAAAATGACCAATTTAATTATTGTTTTTAGCTTTTTTGGAGGGATTATTATTAGGCTCTGTGTGGAGTAAGGAAACTTGCCCAAGGTTTCGCCCTCTGCCGGGAATTGAACTCAGGTCTCTCAGTTGCAAAGCGAGTGCTCTAACCACTGAGCTACAGGACTCCACGATGATGGTGATGGGTTTCCGAGTGCGTGAGACACTCCCCCTCAATCCCTCCTCCTTGTCCCCTCCCTCCCCACCTTCAAATCCGGCCTAAAGACCTTCCTTTTTGCTCGGGCTTACGGTTACCCTTCCTCTCCCCCTGAATCGGGGCCAGACTCCGCCACTGCCAAGCGCTCCGGGACGCTACGTGAAGGGCACTGTGTAAATGCAAGTTTGTTGTTGTTGTGTCAGCCGTGTCCTCTTGACTGTTTCAGGAAGCTCTAGATGCGTTCGTAGCCGCTGCCGACAGTCACTTTGGGTGCCTGATGGTGGCGGGAAAGATGGTGGTGGCTACGGCAAAGTGGTGGCGGCTGGAAGCACAGGAGGTGATGCTGTTGGCCTGGCTGGTGGCATCTCTGCCCCCCAGCTCGTCCCGAGACTATCCTATCTACCTGCCCCACGGGAGCCCCACCGTGAGTAACCCAAAACACGTGCTAGTTTAGACGCAGGAGCTGCAGGGAAGCTGTTCTGAAACCTTAGCATTATTGTATTATAAGTTGTCCTGTAGCGTTGTGGTTAGAGCACTCGTCTCCCAAGTGAGAGGACCCGGGTAATGTTAATAATATTATTATTATTATCTTAGTGTAAGATATGTGCCCCGAGACATCACTTGCTTGAAGGACGCTGTATAAATAAATACAAGCTGTTGTTGGTTTAATGTCTCATCCAAGTGATGGCACTTCCCCAACATTGAGTGTCTTAGCCTCTGATTCCAGGTACCTCACAGACTGCTGACGTTCCAGCTGCTCCCAGGACTAGAGGTGTGTTTGCTGTGTGGCCCAGCTCCCTCTCTAGAGCACGTTCACACACAGGTTAGTCAAGCGGTCAGACAGAGCGGGAGGCCTAACCTCAAGTGGGGGGTGGGTTGGCGAGGGAGGGGTGCCAGCAGTAAGTAGGAACCCGGTTGTTAGTCGATTGGCGGGTCACTTTTCCGGAGGTAACAATCCCTCCAAAAAAAATAATAATTTGGTCACTCAATCCACGACTGTTTGAGGGACTCTTCTGTGTGCAATTGGCTGCTGCGTTTTGGTTGCGACGTCTCACAGCGCTTCACAGGATATACTGTAAACACTAGTAACTGTGTATTTTGCGAGCGAAACTCAGCAGACAATTCTGTAGGGTGAAGGCTTTGAGATGTCTCTCCGACGTGCTAGGCAGTGTACCACAGGGTAAGGATTTGACCCCCCGTGTTGCAGTGCATGTGTGTTTTTTAAACTGACACAGCTGTTAATTTTCCTAGTTAATTGCGCACAGCAGTGTCCCACACACAGTCGTGGATTGAGTGAGCAAATTATTATGAGCTGTCGGGGGGTGGGTGGGTCGGTCGGGGAAGGGGTTAGGAAGTTGTGCTCAGTTACCCCATGGGAATGGTGTGCGGACAGAGTAATAAGATACCCAGATAGGGGTTTTCAGACATTTGGGTGTTTTCCCAGGTGCGGGTGCTGTACTGACTGACTGACTCTCTTTGGCTGCAGTTGGTTGCCCGGTATTGGAGCCCGGAGCTGGAGATGTTGAAGGGGTGTGTCAGGGCCCACCAGCGCTCTGTCCCACATAGCATGCCTCTGCACCAGAGCATTCTAGGGTAAGTAACTGTCAGGGAGGGGGTGGGGTGCGGAGATTCGCAGTCACCCAGCTCCTGACTTTGTTAATCATCCCAATGCACAGCTCACCATTGCGGGGCCGTGTATGTTATTCCCAGCATTTTATAATCATCTTTTCATAAGAATACAGTATATACTGTAAAGTGAGAGAAATTCCCTTCTCTTGGTAAATAGAGCCTTGGGGGTCTTTAACGTCCACCTGAACAGACAGACAGGACCTCGGTTTAAGTCTTATCTGAAGGAGAGGGTTTTCAATAGGGCTCCCTCATTAGTGTGCTGGAGTGTCAGCGTACGGACAGCTTAATGTCCCAACTTACAAGCTCTGAGCTACAACAACAACAACAACAAGAAACCACGCTGACGCCGAGACATATTGCACAGGTTACCAGACCTGAAGCCGGTATTCAGGGAGGTCTGACTGAATCACTCCACAAGGCATTGCAAAGAATCGAGCAGAGCTTCAAATTTTTATCCCCCACCTGTCCTGGCTTCCCATCCAAGTGATCTGTTAGCTTTGCAATTACTTCCCACATTGTGTGGATAGTGAAGGTGTCCTCCCAGGGCTCCTGCTCTAATTCAATTCCATTCACTTCATACAGACGTCCCACATTTTTCTACCTCTGTGTAATACTCTACATTTCAAAGTTAAATTTAACTTGACACCTATCTGCCCAATTGCATAACTGATCTGAATCTTTTATAAACCCATTACTGGCTTCTCTGCTACATCTGACGAGGGAGTTCTATACGACTGGAGTGAATGGGTAGAGGTTTGGGCCTTTGGGAGTGTGTGCAGTGGCAGTGAATTTTGATTTACTCAAGGCATTGAGTCTTCAGGCCTTCTCTGCCCCCATCCCACAGTCCCTTCGCCTCACCCCCCCCTCCCGATAATGTAATATTGTATTACTCATCGGATTGACGGAAAGTGAAGTGAAATGTTCCCTGCTTCTCCGCTCAGGGTCGATCTTTGATTTTGTCTCTTCCAGTTTCCTCTTAATAAACACGGAGCAGAATAAGAACCTCTTCACGTTACAACCACACGGGTCTGAGGACAGCAGTCTACAAGGTGAGAAGATTATGTTGCCCTCACACTGCCAGCAACTCGTGAGCCGGATGCTAACCACTACCGTCAGCTCTTCTCCTCGACCGTGCCTTCGTCACCCTCCTACCCCTACCTTCCCGCCCTCCACCCCTCTTGATCCCAACCACCAGCTTAAGTGGGGATCCCTGACTGTCCAGCGCCTTTGGACGTCCCCCGAAACGAAAGGCGCCGTATAAATGGAATTTGTTGTAGTTATTGCTATCAAGTACTACCAACACATAGTACACTAGCAGCTGAAATAGGCCATGGAACCTGAGGTCCAACCAGGCTTGACCTGTAACCCCATTTTGTCCTCCAATTTAAGGTTATAATAATAATAATCATCCCATTTATCTCCCGCCTTAACACATCGTTGAGATGTTTCAAAGCGTTTCACGGGATATTTTGTAACGTGTAGTGACTGTATATTTTATACACTGTATAGCACGTATATTCTGTGTTAGACCACAGTGCTGGAGAGAGAGGGTTGTGGACGCTGTGGAGAAAGATGTGAATGTGACGTTTCTGTTTTGCCTGGTTTTGCAGCTCTTCCAATTGAAAGGCGCGAGTGTATCTTGCGATCGTTTTATAGCCTCGCTGTCTCTACTTATTTTCCTGTGGAGTCTGGTGAACAGGAGCCTGGTGAGTGACAACTATGTACCCAGCCAGGCTTTAACTTAATAATAATAATAATCCTTGCATTTGATACAGCGCCTGATCACATCTTTGAGACGTCTCAAAGCGCTTCACAGTAAATTGAACTTGCAGGCGAAACGCGGCATTTATTGCCACCGAAAAAGCCAATCGACTGATAACAACCGGAATCCTACTTACTGCTCGGTGAACACGTATGTGTGTGGAGTCAGGAAACTTGCCCAACATTTCGCCCTGACCTGCCCGGGAATCAAACCCGAGGCGAGGCAAGTGATCTAACCACTGAGCTACAGGGACTCCACTTATCGAAGAATAAGTGGAACAAGACTATGTGGACAGAGCAGAGAAACAAGGGGCAGCTGACAGATTTACTAGAGGTATTGACACTCGCCAGAATTACACACTCACACTCACTTTATATGATAAAATACAATACAGTACAAAATTACATTTGTATAGCACCTTTCAGGTTGGGAGGACATCCCAAAATATTGCATTTGTTAACAATTAACTACAAATTAGGATACAGTCTATATTATATAATAACCTTGTGTATGCCTGGGTCCAACACTCCTGTGTAGAATATAATGCACGAGGTAACACTCCTGCATATATTATAAAGTGATAATAGTCGTATAATAATAATCCTTGCATTTGATATAGCGCTTTATCACTTCGTTGAGCCGTCTCAAAGCGCTTCACAGGATACGCTGTAATTATTATTAAAAAAATTAATAATTTGCTCACTCAATCCATGGCTGTTTGTGGGGACGCTCCTGTGCGCAATCAGTTGCCCGTTTCGCCCACAAAATACACAGTCAATTCACTTTACAGTGTGAAGTGTTTTTAGACGTCTCGAAGACGTGATAAGGCGCTGTATCAAATGCAAGGATTGTTATTATTATAAGAAAGTGATTGACTGGATATTTTATCATAAAAATATGGAAGTAACATGTTATGTTTCTGGGTGTAGCACTCCTGTGTACCTGTGTGTTGTCCTGTCCCCTCGCCCTGTGTTAAGCGATCTCTTTGCCTCTCTTCAGTTGCGTTAAGGGAGGATTTTGCTGCCGGCTTCTCGCACACAGCAGTGGAGTGCTACGTCGCAGCTGAGGACCACAAGTGTTACGGACTCCAGAGCCGCCAACACCAACTCTTTGTCCTGTTCACCCCCATCGTGCCCACCTTCGCCCTCCGGCACATCGCGACCAAAACGCTCACCTTACTGACCAAGGAGGTGTCTTTCTAAGAGCAGCCGAGTTCAACAACAACAACTACAGCGACCCCCACGCAGTGGTAGCATGTCTCAAGTCAGCATGTGCATCAGTGTGGCTCCTACTCCCCACCCACAACTCCTTCCCTCCGCGCTCCCCTCACCCACTCTTTGTTTGCCACTTCGAACTGCTTGTCACTAGGCTACGAGGGAGAGAGAGAGGATACAGGAAATAAAGGGAACTGGAGAAGGGTGATAACGGACAAGAGGGGCGTTGGAGAGGGCAGAAGGGGAGGGGGCAGGAAAAAGACAGGGAGGGAAATGAAAAGAAAAATATTTATTTGAGCTGATGTGAAAGTATCATAAAAGTGATGCCAGTGGAGGGAGCAATGAGGAATTCCTAAATGACACGGCCTGAGAGAGGCTGTAAAGAGTTGCAGTTATTGTCATAGATTAGCAGCAATGATTTGACAGTGAGTTGTACGATTTATCTGCAAGTTCAGGCCTCTGGCGTCTGGAAATATCCCAATTCATTAGTTTAAAACCTGCTTAGATACAACTCTGACCGGGATTCTGTTGCCAAGAAGACAACTGAGCCATTATAGTGAGGGCGTTATAATGAGGAGACTGGAATATTAACACAAGGAAGTCTCGGAGCTGGGGGAGAGAGAGAGAGAGACGAGCCAGGGGGAGGGAGGAGGTGACCGTTAGCGCAGTTGAAGAGGAAGGTCTTCTAAAAGAGGGACAGACGGAGGGATTGGGGGAAGAAAGTTTCGGGGTCTGTTGGCTGAAAGCATGGACGCCGATGGTGGAGCGCAGGGCACGAGGGATAAGCAGGAGACCAGCTGAGCGGAGGCATTGGGTAGTGAGAGTGGGTGGGGGTAAGCAGGTCGGAGAGGTAGGAGGGTTGCGAGGGAATGAAGTGATTCGAAAACGAGCGAGAGGATCCTAAACGGTGAGGATCTTATAAGTTGAGATGCAAAACAGTTGATTGTTGTGCAAGATAAATATGGATCCTGTGGAAAATACCCGGAGGGTTAACAGCCCAGAGACACTTGAGGACAGGGAGGCAGAAGAGGTTGTGAACCGAGAATAAAGGTAAAATCTTTTCAAGTAGAGATATCATACCACAAAGGCTGAGAGGCTGAGAAAACTTGCCTTATATTTCTTGAGAGCTGAGAATTGGAAAAAGTTCTTTGCATAAGAGGATTGTGAGAATGTAGACTGCACTGCCCCATAAGCGTGTTGTTTCAAATAAGATAGTTACTTGACAGGTTGAGGGAGTATGGAGGAAAAGGCAAGGAAATGGGATGAAAAGATCTGACAGGATCTAATAAATTGGTGGCAATGGGCTCCGTGAGCTGAATTTCCTGTTCCATTGTTCTTATTCCGCTCTTCGGAGAAAGGAAGTTCTGAAAGTGTATCTGTACACTTGCTCTCAAAGCTAAATTGTCCAAATGTGCTCCACGGTCTTTTGGAATAACGTTTGTGCGATTCGAATTGCCTGCAAATAAGAAAATGAATATTTTATTGTACAACCTGTTTGTCCGTGTCCTGATATCTACTTTCATAAAAATGTGGTGATGATAGTAATAATAATGATCCTTACATTTGGTAGAGCGACTTTCACCTCGGGAGGATGACTGTGTGTTTTGTGGAGAAGCGCGAGCACACATTTCCCCACAAAAGTACCAGTTTATTGACGTCCTGGATCATGGCTTTTCGGTACAAACGATTTTATTACAGATGTTATGTTATTGACATGTCAAGCAGCAACAGAACAGCATGGAAGTACAGTATAATCATTTTCTAATTCACCTTTCACACTGGGAAGGTGTCTCTACGCGCCTCACAGGATTTATTGTAAAGTATAATGACTGTACACAGCTATAACTGAGCACTGTGAGCATTTCTTATGATCATTGCCGGATTGATTGAGCATAAGACGGTGAAAATCATGTGAATACGATTTGGGGCACAATCCTTGTAATTGGTTCACCACACGGTCGAGACATCTTCCAAGTGCTTCACAAGATGCACTGTAAATAACAATAATCCTCGCATTTGGAAACAGCGCCTTATCACATCTTCGAGACGTCTCAAAGCGCTTCGCAGGACACGCTGTCAAGCGTAGTGACTGTGTATTTTGTGGGCGAAACGCGACAGTCAATTGCACCCCCAGCGGCGTCCCCCCAAAACAGCCGTGGACTGTAGTAGTGACCAATTTATTTTTATCTTTATTTGAAGGGTTCAGTATTGCCATTGGTAAGCGTGGGTGGCGTCGCCCCTTTAAGACGGGCGGCTCTGCCCCTTTAAATACAACCCATGAGCCGAGAGAAATGCTGGCGCTCCAGCGGGTCGATCAAGGTGAGTGGCAGCGTCTCCACCAATGAGCAGCCAGCGCGCCCTTATGCCGTTGATTGACAGGCCGGAAGTTCCCATCAAAGGGGGAGGGGTTTGGGGAGCAGCCTCCGCCAATCAGGACACGGAGGAGGACGGGATGATCGGACCCATCGACCAATGAGCGAGCCGCGTGGGCGGGACTTCCGGTCTCCTCACCTTCCAGGAGTCGGTTATTTTGAAAAAAATAGCGTTATCCCGCCGCCGGTGAGCAGGCGCGAAAACTAGTCCCGACTCGGAAATCCAGCAAACGGCGGGGACGAAGGGCTACGGGCGGAGGGGCGTCAGAGGGCGTCGTGGGGGGGGAGGGGAGGTCGTCCGTCGAGCGTTCGGAAGCCGTTAGCAGCCGGTGGGCAGCAGCCGCGGCGGATTGATACAAGCCGAGCGGCGCAGCGTGAGTGGGGGGGGGAAGCCGCCGTCGCCGCCATTTTGTTCTCCGAAGGTGGCGGCGCCGCGAGGCCGTTAGTCCGCGCTGGTGGTCGCTCGTCAACGTCTCTGGTTAAACACGGTTCCTTCCCGTTAACTAGTGACACCCACCACACACACAGATATATATATATATCTAGGGAGAGGGTGAGCCGGGCCGGGGAGCTTGTGCTGCCGGTTACGCGGTCGTCATGACTCAGTTCCTGCCGCCCAACCTGCTGGCGCTCTTCGCGCCGCGCGACCCGGTGCCCTACCTGCCGCCGCTCGAGAAGCTGCCGCACGAGAAGCACCACAACCAACCGTACTCGGGCATCGCCGGCTTCGTCAGGGAGTTCGAGGTGAGCGGGGCCTGCGGCGGCGGCGGCGGGGGGGGGGAGGGAGGGAGGGAGGAGGACACGAGGGAGGAGGAAGGCCCTCGAGGGGCTCAGTGTGTGAGGGGAACGAGGGGGGGAGGGGGCAATGAGGGAGGTTTGGGAAGGGGGTGATTGAGGGAGGTTGGGGAGGGGGGCAGTTAGGAGGGGAGGGGGCAGTTAGGGGGGAGGGGGGCAGTTAGGGGGGAGGGGGGCAGTTAGGGGGAGGGGGGCAGTTAGGGGAGGGGGGCAGTTAGGGAGGTTGGGGAGGGGGGCAATGAGGGAGATTTGGAGGGGGTGATTGAGGGAGGTTGGGGAGGGGGGCAGTTAGGGAGGGGTTTGGCAATGAGGGAGGTTTGGGAGGGGGGCAATGAGGGAGGTTGGGGAGGGAGGGGGTGAGGAGAGGTTTGTGAGAGGAAGGAGTGGGGAGGGAGGTTTGGGAGGGGGAGGGAGACCTGATATGACCCTTCTGGCTGAGACAGGTCACGGGAGATGGGGGCAGACCATGTTTGATAGGCTGAAGGTCTTGTTTTGTTCATTGTGACATTAGTTTGGGAATGTTTGTTGGTGTACCTCTGACAGTGAAGAAAAAGGAATAAACTTAAGATTTACTTAAGACCGGAGAGATCTGCGTTTGTTCACAAATCATCGTGTGATTCTTCTCACCTCTGCACCATGTGTCAAAGCATGTGGCGACTGAGTCCAAACAAACTGCAATAGAGGCACTGGATGTAAACGTAGGCTCCTGTCTGTGGAAGGGAGCGCTGCTGGGAGCGCCCTGCAATTGATTGAGAAAATTTGTCTGTCTGTTGCTTCCAAAGTGCTGACTGCTGTTTTGTTTGGTCTTCATAGGACCCTCGCGATGCCCCACCTCCGACAAGAGCCGAGACCCGGGAGGAGCGTATGGAAAGGAAGGTGAGCACTTAACTGAAAACATTGTGGCTCTTTCCCACATTCCCACGTAACTCAGCACTGACCAAAAATCATACCTGAGACCTTCCTGGACTGAACAGCAGAGCCACATTGGTAATGCTGTTACCCAAAGAGTCATTGAAGGATGTTTAATGCTTTACCCATTGAGCCAGCTATTTTTTGAAGGATTTTTAAAAAGAGAAAGTTCACTTTCCTTTAGTATTCCTGCCTCGCCAAGCTTCCAGAGATCTTGCATGAGGTACATGCAGCTTTGAAATGATTATTTCTGTTTGAAGAGCGCATAACTCTTTGCTTGTTGATACCGTAATGCTGTTTTCCATTTACAGAGACGTGAGAAGATTGAAAGAAGACAGCAAGAGGTAGAAAATGAGCTAAAATTATGTAAGTCAGCCATTGAAATCCTACACTAATGAAATGGTATTTGTGTTGAGTTCTTTAGTGGCCCGTCGGTCAGGTTATTTAGAAACAAGTGAGAGGACCTGAGTTCAATTCCAGGGCGGGGCGATCTCTTAGGCAAGTTTCTTTATTCCACATGCCTCTGTTTTCCACTTTTAGTAGATTGACGGATTGCTTTCTGGGGGTAATAATCCTTCCACAAAATAATAATAATTTGGTCACTCACTCCATGACTATTTGTGGGAACTGCTGTATGCAATTGGCTGCCACATTTCTCTCACAAAATATACAGTCAATTCATTTTGCAGTATATTCTGCGAAGTGCTTTGAGATGTCTTGAAGACATGATAAAGTGCTATATCATATACAAGAATTATTATAACATTCCAGCCCTATGAGCCACAAGTCTATTGGGTTTTGTTGATAGTCTTTGTGTCAATGGCTATTGGGCAGACTGATGAATTGTCACACTGAGTTTTCATTGTCCAACCAATGTTGGTCTGGCAGCCATGAACTATTGCTGCTGTTGCTAGTGAGGGCAAAGCTGCTTTAACTGAAGTTAATGCCTTTGGTCAGTGTGTGTGAACTTTTATTAATGACTAGTTTCTGATTTGCAGGGGATCCTCACAATGATCCAAATGCACAGGGAGATGCTTTCAAGACGCTCTTTGTCGCCAGGGTGGTAAGTTAATTTATATTTAACTATTGGTGGAAGTTTTGAGCTGGAGGAGGTGGGGGGAGAAGGGGAATGTCCTTGGTACAATTTATTTAGTGAGCCGTTTCGTTCAGACTTGGTTAGATTGTGCAGGTAAGTCTTGCTCGCAGATTGGTCAACTGTACAAACTCCTACTTCAGGAATGATTGAATTGGAATAATCTACATGTGATGCAACTTTGAGTCTGAGAACGGATCTGTAGAACTTGTATTTTATGTAGTTATATAACCTTGCAATTATTCTCCTGAAGCCTACTGGTAGTGAAGGATCTGATCTGTCTACATCAGTGTATCCAGCAGTAATACGGGCAAAATCTGGTGTGCAGCTAGTTTCTCTGCGACATTGTCATTACTCTTTAAAAGCCAGCTTATAATATTGCTGTATGTTTGTTCCTTCATTTATTATAGCCGAGTGGGTTTAAACCTATAGGCTGGAGCATTTGATTCCTCACTCTTGATGGGTCTTTCAGCTAAGAAGTCTCAAGTTGTCACTTCAGGTGTTGTGGTGTTGGGTGACGTCATTGGATAGATGAGTGACCTGCCCGAGCAGTGTAGATTTGGCTGCAGTGAGACTTGTGACTAGACGTTTGCCAGTATGACACCTGTCAATACCACAATTGACCAGTAGAAGATGGCTTGCAGGATCAGTCAGTCCTTTCCAGCTGTTCTTCCTGCAGCTTTTTACATCCCGTTAACCCCTGAGGTCTGACTTCCTTGCTGAGCTCAGCCTGGGCCACTGCTCCCTTCCCTCCCTCACCCTGACCATTTTCCCCATGCTCGAGTCCTGGCCCAACTGTCCAGCGCCTTGGGACGTCCTCCCGACGTGAAAGGCGCTCTATAAATGGAATCTTGTTGTTGTTGTATGCAACTTTCTTTTGTTTAATTTTGAGACAAGCCCGTTACAATTACTATATACAAAGTCTGTTTGATATTGTTGGATAAAATCCTGTTTCCTTCACTGCAGAATTATGACACTACAGAATCAAAGCTGAGACGAGAGTTTGAAGTGTATGGACCTATTAAAAGAGTAAGTATCTGACCCGTTAGGAACTAGTTTGAAAACTGGCATTTCTCAAAAAAACACCAACTAAACTCTTTTTGTAATCTATATGTTACATGTGCAGCCAGAGCCCAGGACAGGATAACAACACAGCAAATAAGTAAATAAATGTATTTCCTTGCAGGGCAAACCAAACCTGTTCCTGATTTGCGCTGGTTTCTTTTAAATTAGTTTGCATGTACAGTAGTTTGTAGGCAGGACCTGAAATGGAAGGGCACTAGGCAGTACTTTATTGAGCAATTTAAGTGTTGGTTTGTGTATCAGTCAAGTAGTGAACCAGTGTTCTGGGCAGATCTGGAGTCCCAATGATTGGGGGGGGAGGCTGTTTATTCCACTGAGTTTCCATTGCTGCATTTGGCATTCAAATGCTAACAGCCAGTATAGGAGCTGTGTCTTGCTGATGTAAGCAGTATGCAGCAGAATATTTTAGTGCTGGTTTTACTGGGGCTGGTGTAGATGCACTAGAATGCAGAATGATAATTGAACAGGCTAGCACAGTGAAGTTGCACATGATTAGGAGGGATTTGGGTTGGAGAGGCAGTTCCTGAAATAGCCAGTAGATTGCTGACGTTCCTTATTTGTGTTCAGTTCTGATACCATCTCAATTTATTCCTCTCCAGATCTACATGGTGTACAATAAGCGGACTGGAAAGCCTCGTGGTTATGCCTTTATTGAATATGAACACGAGCGAGACATGCACTGTAAGTTATTTGTGTGTTCGTGGGATGGGAGGGAAATGGGCTGTGGGATTCAGTTCAGTAGCTGCAGGCTGCTATGCACAGCAGTGCTGTGTAAGGTTACACACCTGATTGCGTTTTGCCCTTGGGTTAAATCTGTCTGGAACAGATGCGTACCTGAGGTCCTGCCAGTCCACACTAAATGCACATAACATATCAAGAGGCTGATGTGCTTCTTGTATGTCCATTTGCCGAGTGTGTCCTACAATAAGTCTTAATTCTGCTTTTATTCAAAATTCTCTTAAGTGTTGGGTGGAGTATAGTTTGGCTTTTATATTAAAAAAAATTCCTTTTTGTTTCTCACGCCCCTGACCACCGCTCCTCGTCACATGTAGGTTGCCAGGCTAAGCAGTTGCAGATCAATTTAAACATTGCTGCTGGAGCACAACCTGTTCTGGTCATGTGCAAAACCAGAAGGTGCCAAAATAGATCATTCCATAAACTTGAGCCTGGGAACGGATGGTTTAATGTGGGGATACAGCTGAATTCTGATCAACCTATGACTAATGCCAAGAAATGACAGGATTGAAATCTTCAATCACACCAGATGCAGTGTCTGTTTTCTTGGGTCAGTTATACGTTTGTCAAGACTTGGCTGTTTCCTCAGATGCTTTTTTTGTTTGGTGCTGTTGATGGTCTATAGGACTGTCAGGTTTGTGACTAGTGACGGGCGTGCTATGCGGTAAGTATAATACGGTTTCCAGTATCTTGGGAATGATGTGAAGTTGGATCATAGCTCTTAACAGTTTTTTCACAGCCAGTAAGTCACAGTGAGGACCTGCTTCAGATTTGCTGCGTAGCTGACAGGAGGCCAGTATTGAGCAGCAGGAAGCAGCTTCTCTCTCATCAGTCATGGGATAAAAATAACTGCATAAATTTCATACCTGGTATAGGTGCTGTGACCTGCATCAGTAAATGGAGACGTCACAAATTTGGGCCAGATATTTTCCCTCCATGATTCCTGTTACAGGACTGCCCTGTACCAGAGGATGAATTAATAGCTATATAAAGTACCTGGTTGCCTTAAGATTCAGGATTAAATTGCGTCAGAGTTAGTTTCTGGTTGATTCTTGAAGTGAATTGCAATCTAACCTGCCTTGTGCTGACTGTGCTGGTGAATGGCGTGTGCTACGTCGGTGATGCACGTATTTTACTGCACTGGTGATGCACAAATGGGCTATTGCTTTCCTTTTACAGCAGTGACGCTCCAGTTAAACCTTTGTCTCCACCAAGGAACTCTTGCGATAGTGAAGTCTCATGTTTAATGGGGGTATAGTGAATGTTTTCATGTATCAGTCAGTATATCTAGGTCCCACGTTGCGATGGAGTGGAGACAGAGGCCTGACTGAGGTCACACGCTCTCGGCCAGGTGTGCTCCTGCCAGGGTTAATAGCATCAGGCATCCAGGTCCTTTTTCTTTAAAGGCTTATGGTTTTTCTTTTCATGTCGATTGGCCCTTTTCACGTGCTGAAAGGTTCCGAGAAGCTTCCCATCGATTCTGTGCACATTTTAAACCGATCTTAAAACCAGGCCACTTGCACACCAGTGTGGCTGGCCTGGTTGCTTCGATTGAAACAGCAGGGTTTTTTTTTCCATGCTGTCCCATGTTTGGATTCTGCCTCGTATGACCTGGATTAAGTGGCCACCCATGGGGTATATGGTCTCGGCCACTATTTTCTTGAACCGTTGACACCAATCCCGATAGTTATGAAATCTATGGTTCCCTGTTATTCGCTTGTAGTATGTAATCAGTGTGTTTGGGAGGAGGGGTGATTTCTTCAAGGGTGGCTGCGTAACTCAGGTTATACCCCATTCCACAAAGCAAAACCACTTAAAATCTGACCCCTTGGCTTCTCGAATGGGGAGAGACTGTCTAGTGAAAGGGGCCTCAGTGTGCGTTTGTGGTGTTTTAAGGAATAGCATGTTTGTAAACTGTACACCACGTTTGCGAGCTGGGGTATATTAATTCTCTGTTATTTCTGTTGTCACTGCAGCCACCATTCTGATGGCAAATGCCACTGCTGGCTTGCAGCTGATGCTAATGCTCCCCTTACATCTCATTGTATGGTTGGTATATGGGTTTGTATGATGGGTAAGAACTCGCAATACATCACCACAGTGAGAGGAGAGAGTGATTAAAATACAGTATTTAGAGCTAGGGGTGAGACTACTGGTGTAGCGTGAGAGAGAGCAGGAACAGACTACACAAACACAATGGCTTAGGGCTAGTCCTTGACCAAGTAGGGAGTTTGGTGTGATGTTCCTAGGATTCAGGAGCTTGGGGGGTGGGTTTAAAGTAACCCAGTGGCCCCGTCTCTGTTCCTTTCTTTGGGATCTGCACTCATTTGTCGTACTATGTGAGGTTAGCGCAGCCGAGTAAGAATTAAACTGAGTTCCTGTGTCCAAACTATCTGTGTTTGGATAGCTAGGCTAGCTGTCTGGTAATGACTGCAATCTGTAACCCTCCTTCCATTTCTCTCTTCCCTCCCTGCCCCTCCAAGAAAAATCCTTTGACAGTGTCACCAAGTTGATGTAATTTCAATCTATCTTGCAAGCAAAGAAAGAGGTTACTTTTTTTACAGTTGATTATTTATAGTTCCAACTGCTCAGGTGGCCCCAGTGGGAGGGGAAGGGGGTGTTGAGGATTACGTTGGGTAGTTTTGGGGGTTGAGCTTTGCCAGGTCTCGTCTCACTTCACTCCATTGACTGTTTTAAGTCGAAGGAGTGATGGGGCTTGTTGAGCCAACTGCTTCAATATTAAAGCCTAGGTGTAGAAGCAATCCACATTTGTCAGAAGTAGTGCTGAGCGCTGTACGTTCCTGTTACTGGCTTCAGGACCTGTGCAGACAGATGGGGCCATATCTGTTACACTGCCAATGCGCAAGAGGCCCCAGAAACTGGGGTATCTGATGCCTCGGCTGCCTTGCACACTCCCAAGTGTTTGAACAAACCTATGAATGTGCACGTGAGGATTGTTTTCAAACTTTTGCAAGCCCAATTTTACGCACAATTGAATGCAATTTGTCCGTGATTTCCAAATTTGCGCCTGGGAACAGAGTGTACGTTGGCAACCTGTTCAACTATTGAGAGCACCCCTGCCAAACCCCACCGTGTCCACGTAGGTGGATTTCCCAGCACAGAGTTGCAATCTACCCGATTTTTGTTTAAAATGTTCAAAAAGCCCAAGGTCTTAAGGCCATTTGCCACCCTCCTGCAGTCAGCTTGTTTAGTATAGTCTGTGAATCGAACCTGGGTCTTTATGGTTCCATTTGGGGCAATTCTTTAATTCCAGTGCGTTTGTGGCACTCGGGTGCACGGAGTTGGTGAGCATGAGGTTTGGAAGCTAGCAAGGCAGAGTAGAAGCAGTCCTGGAGACGGAGATGGCTCCACTGTACTTCTCACCCTGAGAACTAGAAGATTAATTTAAATAGATCAGGTTATCTTTCAAAGATTTTATCCTAATGCATCAGACCTCTTGCCTCTGCTTTACTTTTCTGTATGGGAGCCATTTACAGGAGTCTGTAGGGTCTTGGGGAGAAGTGAGGTGGAGTTGTGCCCTTCAGGAAACTGGAGAAGGTCTAGAAAAGATATGTGTAGGCGTTTATCTCCTGGAGTTAGCCAGCATAATGCACTGCTGATACAGGCACTGTGTGCATGCATTAATACCCCGTGTGCTTATACTCAGTTACCATTTTGCTCTTACTCTCAGTTGTGTTAGGTTGTGAGGCATTCACCAGTTGGAAACCCAGTAGTAGAGCAACTTACAGCTTGTAGATTTGTGAGGTGAAAGTTAGATGTGCAGCGTCTTATCTAGTTGGAAATGCAGAGCAGTGACTGCCAGCATCTTTTCTGTAGCCCTTCTAACTTCCTGAGCTGAAAGTAGTCTGGAGGTTTACAAGTGTGCAGGGGTTAAATCAGCATGCCTGGCAACTTGCCTCTCAGCTCTATCCTAAACTTGTTAGTATTTTCAAAAGGTTGCCGTTGGCAGTTTGTCACCTTTATAGGATTTCTGATTTTTGTTTTCTTCCACATCCACAAATTTCTAATTAACGAGCTAGATGCACTGGACTGCAGTCGGTGCATGCTTACTGGGAAAGAATTACGACAACAGTGAATGACACTTATTTAGCTACGTATTGTTGTATCGAACACTAGGGATTCCCTCAGAGTTTGACCCAGCTTTTGTGCACAGTTAGCTTTCAGAGGCTGTTTGAAGTCGAGACAGATCAGATTAACACATTGTATGAGAAACATAAGGCCGAGTGTAAAAAGCAGTAGATGTAGAAAAAAAAACTTCAGACTATCAGTAGATCCTGGGAAACTAATCTCTAAACTGTGATAAAACTACTGTTCCTGTTGATAAACTACAGCTCCATTCAATAAATGCTTCTACTTGTTCTTCTATTTTCTATTTCCAACTTTTAAGTTAACTTTTATTCCATTGAACCTAATCTCTCTGCCACCTGTTTGTTTTTCTCTCTCCTTCTAAATAACCCCTCAAACCCATTCTTTTTCTGTCCCACCAACCCTGGCCCACCTCGATCTGCCACCATTTCGCAAGTGGGAGTAGGAAATGGAATCTGGTCAAAAATGTGACCGGGACAGTGCTTGATGTGCAGTTACATCAGGGGCTGCTGTTAGGAGATTCTTAGGTCTGGTGACACCAGCTTGAATTAACCTGCATGTTAAAGCACGTTAAAGCTTCACCCAGTTTGGATCGGAGCTGTGTGATTGTACACGTTCCCAAGGTAGGAACTCCACCCCAGTGTAGTTGCACTTCCTAACACCTGGAGATTCACTTTCCTCAGGAACTTGAAGGGGCTTACAGCAATGTGTTTGGCAGGTAAAGTAGTGAGGCTGGGAGGGGTTTCCAGGGGCTACTGCCTCGGCGAAGGAAAGCTAACTCGAGGTTGAAGTGCAGGCACATAAACATCGGCAATTCAGTTCCACCTGAAGCTAAACATTTCGATAACTTAAGACGTTCTATGGAAGCCAGTCCCTTAAATACAGTAAATCCGGCTTCCCAGTTTGAAGTTAAAGCTAAAATTTCCACATCCAAATATTGGCTAAAACTCACCACCATCCATACACTTTTCCGATTTACATTCTATACAGTATAACTGTTTGACAAGTTATAATGTACATGAAAGCTTTTAAATTCTGAATCACTGTTAAAACCTGATTCTCAATCATTCCAATCTCTGGTGCACAATCAATCCTAAACGATCCTGACCCCACCGCCCCCCCACCCCCTTTCACTGTGAAACTTAATAGTGTGGGAAAAAAACCCACACGAAATCCCGTTGCTGGTGGTTTAGCCACAAAACGATCCATTTTTTGACGGACAAAAAAAAAAAATCATCCAGGCATCGTTTCATACCAGATGCTACAGCTTGAACATTGAGAGCAGCAATATCTCCTTTCATCGGCCTACAAGTCAGTGCAGTACGTCTGTCGTGTTGTTGGCTCTGTGTGCTTTGCGCTTTGCTGGCTGTGAGCAGTGTTGCCAGGCTGTGACTTCTCCACACTCTGCCACCTTTCATAGCTTACAGGATAATTGTACCATCCAATGTGAAGCACCACCAACAGGCACAGATACTTACTGAGACACAGGCACTCACACTTGTTGTCACAGGCACTCGCACAGTTATGTTCCACCTCATTCAGTTAGTGAAAACGTGGAGTTCTTATTCCAGGTGTGCCGGCATTCGACCCCACAGCTGTCAGCAAGCAGCCTTGCTATGTGAGTCATGGTGCCTTCCTACCGCACAAAATTCTCCGCATGCCCCCTCCCACAACCACCCACCCCATGTCCTCTTCCCTCTATTTTCTGTCGCTTAAACCTAGGCCTTTGAAAAGGAGATTCTGATGCTCAGCATATGTTCTGATCATTTAAACTCTTCTCAAAAAATGGTTACAATGGAAAGAGAAATTTTTTTTAAAAAAAAAAAGCAAAAGCTTGTTCAGAGACTTGCTATCAGGTAAATTATACAACCGCTCAGGTAAGCTGATGTGGAGGAATGTCCTGTCTACATCGTGGAGGCCTTTGTACTCCAAGCAGGTGGAGCTTGTGAGACACAGAAGCGAGAGCTGCATTGGTAAAAACTGGGTATTTTAACGGTTAAAACGTTTCACTTTGATTTAAGAACCATTTAAGGGAAATGTCTGTCTTCTGTTGGATTTTTCACACACGGCTAAATTGAATGTTCAAAGAGCAGCTTCCTTTAAAGAGGGATTCTCATCATCTTCGCTCCCGCATTCTGGAACTTTCTGTAAAAGGGGGCTGGGGAGGGGAGGAGTGACTGAGCCTGATGGGGTGGGGGGGCACGGGGCCAGGGAGTTGCCACGTACTGAATGGCTGCTACAAGGCTCGGTCTGGTATTGACGGCTCCTCCAGCAAATATTTTGGGGTTCGTGCGAGAAATTCAATGGACAGATATTGGGGGAGAGAGATCGGATTAATCTTGCTCCTGGTCGGGAGAGGGAGAGAGCGGGGCCCTGATCGTGAGATCCCCCTCTTTAAAGAGACGTCTGATTTATCTAGGCTGTTTGTTTCCTCTGGCAGCGCATTCTACACTAGTTGCGGCTTTTGCTTGCGATTTTCGCCCCCCACCCCCACAAAAAAAACTTGGCCCTTTCCCACCGTGATTGTTCGATTGTTAGCGTATCTCAAACTGGCTCGGCTTGCATCTACGTACTGGCGTCCGGGTTACCATCTAATTCCCTCGGAGCTGGTGGCTGTAGCCGTTCTACGTGTGAAATGTCTGGATTCCGTTAGTTGACCGACTTCCTCTTTACCTCTAGCTGTGCACAAAGGGTGTGCGTGCGGTCTTGCTTCTTTCTGCTATAAGTAGCTGCTGCACTTGAGAAATCAAATCATGTTCTATTCTTAAAGTGGCGGTGTTTTGTTCTCGTTTCTGGGCCCGAAAGACTTTAAATTCTGATTGTACAAAAGCAACTGAATCCAGTGACGCTCCCCTCCCAAGTGAGTGTTTTGAGGAGATCGCTTCTCATCGACATACAAGGCTGTTTGTTTGTTTGTTTGTTTCATTTTGTTCCTGGTGTGGATTTTTCTAGCTCAGTCCTCGGTGCTCTTTGAACATTCAAGTGGCAGTGTTTAGTTAGCCCAGAGTAGATCTGAAAGAGGAGAGAGAAAGGAAAAAAAAAAAGCCGCTACCTGGTCAGTCAGACAGATAGACAGACAGACATCTCCGAGCCAGTGAATCTAAATCTTCCCGATGGTGCTTGTTAAAGTAATCAACATAGAGCACTGTTAAACAAAAACCGAAGCTGCTGAAAGCAGGTAAGGTGCAGTAAGTAAAGGGTAATGATCCTCAGCAGCAGCAAGTTAAACACAGTGGAAGTCGAAACACTGAACATTGTATCATCTGTTGGCAAGATAGCGCGTCCGCTTTTCATGAGTGCAGGGGGCTAAGTTGCAGTTTGTAAGTAAACTTCCAGGTAAAATCTTTTTTCTTTTGTTAGTGGTGCTGTTGTGTAGTGCTTTATATCATTTTATTTTCCTCTTTGTCCTTCCTCCTCCAATTCCTGTTTTTAATTCATTTTTCTTACTCTTGGTGGTGTATAGCGGATGGATAAGTCTTAAAACCGGGGGGGCTTTCTAACCCTGGCCCTGTTAGTTTACCTGCATCTCGATGTCAAAGATGCAAATGAATGAAAATTGCCACACCAAAAAATACCAAATTAGCCCTGGCGTCCGTCTTAAATTATTTGACGTCAAGCTTTTCGACTGACGTTAATCTCTTTTCCACGAAAGACGAACTTCAGCGTTTTCTTTCGTTTTTTTTTCCCCACCCCCCCCTATAAAAACAAATTGAATTCGATCAAAATCGGCATTTCGGGTCAAGGAACCGGTTAGTTTAAACCTACCCGAGAGCTAAGTGGGAGAGCTGTGCTTTTGTTGGGTGGGTACGGAACTGGGCAAAGGGGCCTGGTTTGAAATGTGCATGGTTACTGTTTCCTTGTTTAAGCACCTGATTTTTTTTTAGACGTCTCACTTGAAATGGTTCCAGGTAAGGGCCATTGAGTGGGGAAACACAAACATGTGGGTTAAAGATCTTCATTACAACGGAACACCCTTCTAAACCCCTTTCACGGTTTAAACCCCCACCCCATCGGTGGTGCTTTTGTAAGCGTCCTGCCCCTCTCTGCCATGCTGTGATAAACATACCCTGGCTGTCCAGCATTTGTAGCGTTTGCAGTCTTAAATGCTGGTATGTGGGCCCTGAGCCATCCTGTTAGAGCTTGGCCTGCAACTGCTCCAGTCATACTGCACCCTTCATCGGGTAAGCGTAACCCTGGGTCTCGCTGGACTTTGCCTTCCTTTCCTCCTGGGTTAACAGCTCAGTGAGTGCCGTATCCTGTTCCTGGCTGGATGTCCATTGAAGTGCAACTTGATATAATGGCCCCCATTTAAATGTCAGCTTACCAGCTACGTGTGTGGATTCTCTCTCCCCTCCCCCCCCCCCACCCACTCACCTCCCGTTGCTATGAAGATCCCTCAGCTGGGAACTGAGGGAATTTGTGTTTCTGTTAGTTTCTGGGCCTTCCCCTTCCCCCTCTCCAATCGAGCGGCCCATGGCTGTCTAGGGGGTGTGTGTCGCTCGAGTGAGTGAGGAATGAAATTGATTGTTCTAACAGATTTTTCCTTTCCAGGATAAGTTCCAATGGTGTTGCAGCAATCTGGGCTGTTTTTTGCTCTCTCTCTCTTCCCCCCCCCCCCCCCCCCACACCCCAGTTATATTGTCTTGTCTCTTTGTTGCAAAGAGCCAATGTCTGGAGTTTAGTGGTAAATCAACACAAGGTCCACGGCAGATTCTCCCAAGCGTTATTGGGGCAAAGAGGATCCTGCCCTGGTTCTTGTATGTCATTAAAGAGCTTGAGGCGAAAAAGACCATTCTTCTTCCCCCCCCCCCCCCCCCAAAGGTTTGGTTTCTGCATGCACTGTGGCATTGTATAAGTGGGTGGGTCTGGGTGGGGGGATTTTCCGTGGCCACACTCACTGACTTGCAGTTGCTGTTCCTGGCACGCTCTGTTGCAGCTGCATACAAACACGCAGATGGTAAGAAGATCGACGGAAGAAGAGTTCTTGTGGATGTGGAGAGAGGCCGCACTGTCAAGGGCTGGCGCCCAAGGAGACTTGGTAAGATTGAAGCCTCTACTCAGTCGGGCATATCGGTCATCTCCAAACCCCTGGGTTGGTGTGGGGGGAGAGAGAAAATCAGCCTGAGCTGTGTTGGGTGAGCATCGGGTCAGGCTCGGCTGTGATATCCTCATTGCACGAGTGAATACATTGAACACTAATGCCTGGACTCGAGTATAAATCCTGGGATTTCAGACAGTGGGGGTGTATTGGTTCCTGTATTCATCGAACACAGTTAACAGCAATGAGCTCACAAACACTTGATTTTAGCAAAAAACGCACATGCACTGACGTCTACACTGTTTTCACAGTTGGGCCAGTTCCGATTAAGATGTCGGGCTTCTTCCTGTGGTTGATCAGTCACCGGTTTAGACTCCATGAACTTGCTTGCTGTGCTATAGAAACATAAGAGCAGGAGGAGGCCATTCAGCTCCTCAAGACCTGTTCTGCCATTCTATAAGATCATGACTGGTCTGTACCTCAACTCCAATTGCCCATCTTTGCCATATCCCCTGACCTAACAAAACTGCCTCCTGATTTCACTTATAATATCCAGCATTCCATTACCAGATGAACAGTAATTTTATCACTGCTTCCAAAGAAAGTCAACGTCACCTCAATTGAAGATCCTCTTGCCATTGAGCACTGGCGAGTCTAGTCACGGCAACTGACACATCAAGCGCTGTTGAGTCTAGTTATGATAAGTCACGGCATCACCCCACCAGCCCGGCAAGTGGCGGAGACGGCAGTAAGCTCTGCTCTTGCTGAGCACACGTTGAAGTTAGTTGTGAATTGTCCACAGGTGGAGGGCTTGGAGGCACTCGCAGGGGCGGTGCTGACGTTAATATCAAACACTCGGGTCGTGATGACGCTCCCCGGTATGACGAGAGGTGAGACACTTTCTTTTTTTGTGAACGCGCCACTTAAGGACGTGTGGACGGGCGTGTGTGTTGATGGAGCTCGGATTGTCAACAGCCTCGTAGCACCTTGTGCCATTGAGCTAGAGGTTCCCACTGTAGTAAAAGTGAAGATCCCTGGGACTGTGGGATGGAATTCCAGAGGGTAGGGGCAGAATGGCAGAAGGCATCGGTGAGGCGGTGGGGATGTGAAGCAGGCCGGAGCCCGCTGAGGGCGGGAGCGGGCAGGTTGGTTGGGGATTAGGAGATCACAGAGTTAGGGGGAAGCAAGACCATGGAGGGCTTTGGAAGTGAGGACCAGGTTCTTGAACTGTATCCTTGAACTTGGAGTCCTGTAGCTCAGTGGTTAGAGCACTCGCTTTGCAAGCGAGAGACCCGAGTTCAATTCCAGGTAGAGGGCCAAACCTTGGGCAAGTTTCCTTACTCCACACAGAGCCTAATAATAATTCCTCCAAAACAAAACAATAATAAATCGGTCATTTTCAATCTACAACTGTTTGTGGGACATTGCTGTGCGCAATTGGCTGCCGCGTTCGCCCACAAATATACAGTCAATTCACTTTACAGTGTGTTCTGTGAAGCGCTTTGGGACGTCCTCCCGACGTGAAAAGCGCTATATCAAATGCAAGGATTATTATTATTATTATTATTATTATCCTCTGTGTGATGGGAAGCCAGTGGAGTCGGGTGAGGTGGGGGTGACGGGTACAGGAGGCCATTCGGCCCATCGAGCCTGTGCTGGCTTTTTGAAAGTATTACCGACTAGTCCCACTCTCCCACTGTTGTCCCGTAGCTCTGCAAGTTTATTCTTCTCCATGGCACTTGTGGGTGGGTGTGGGGCGGTGGTGGAGTCCTACCACCGTCCTGTAGCTCAGTCAGCAGTAAGTTGCTGTCTGGCACTGCCTCAATCATGCGACTTTATTTGTGTCCCCGTCTTACAGGGATCGAGACCGTGAGCGAGACAGAGACCGGCGTGAGTGCAGTGAGCGCAGTCGCGAGAGAGACAAAGAGCGCACCGAGCGTCGCAGGAGCCGGTCCCGGGAACGTCGCCGGGTCCGATCCCGCAGCCGGGAGAAAGAGGAGAGGAAGGCCCGGGGCAGCCGCGAGCGCAGCCGGGAGAAGGAGAAGGGGCCGGAGCGGGAACGCAAACGCCGCAGCCGCAGTCGCGAGCGGAAGAGAGACCGGGAGCGAGGAGACCGGGAGAAGATCCCCAAGGAGGAGCGGCTGGATATGGAGCAGCCCGAGGGCGGTGACGGGCCCCACAATGACGTGCCCCCCTTGGATATCGCCTTGGATCCCATCGATTGTAAGCCCGAGCCAGAGGAGAAGGTGCGAGAGCGCGGGGATAGGGATAGAGAGCGCGACCGAGACAAGGACAGGGATAAGGACAGGGATAGGGACAGGGATAGAGAACGGAGGCGCAGTCACAGGGACAGGGATAAGGAGAGGGAGAGGGACCGCAGGAGAGACAGGGACAGAGATCACAAGCGAGACAGGGACAGGGACCGGGAGAGAGACAGGAACAAGGAGGCCGACAAACTACAGGATAATGGGATGCCTGAGCAGCTCGAGGAGACCAGCCAGGACACCTTCCTGGACCAGGAGTCACTGCAGTCTGGCGATGGATTCCTGTCGGTGGAAAACGGATACCCGATGGAGCCGCCCATGGAGGGCTATTGAGGCCATGAGGCGCTCAGCCGAACTTTGTAATTGGACCAATTTTCTCTCCCTCGCCCGCCCCGTCCCGTTGTGCCAGCAATCGCCACCTCTTTGTTTTTTTTTTTCGTTTGTTCGTTTGCTGGTTTTTAAGCTGTAGTTGAGGCAGGTTTTCAGCACGAGCTCCTTTCCTTCCTCGTGGCTTTTCTTAAAGGTGGGTAAGTTTTTTAGCGGACCGTGTAGGAGTTGGTTGGTTCCTTCTCTTTGGTTCTTTCCCCCCCCCTCCTCTTCCCCCCTCTCCTCTTCCCCCCCTCCCGGTCCTCCCCGAGCCTTCGGTAAAGCTCAGTCGGTAAATGTCGCAGTTCCTTTTCTGGTCTAAATGCACAATCAAATCAGCCCGATTTTAAAGCCATCAGATTCCCCTGTCTGTCGGCCGACTGACCGACCAGCCAGTGCAAGCATTTCTCGGGAAATGGGGTGCGTTGGTTGCATTTGGTGTCGTTTTTTTAAAAAAAAAATGCGTCTTAGCCCAGGGCTGTGACAGAGCCAGAGCAGTCTGTGAGTTGGACTCGAGTTAGCAAGACCCCCAAACTGGACAATTCACCCCAAAGTTCTGTCCCGGCCGCCATTGGAGAGTCTGATGGAGCTCTTTCTTTCGTCTACAAATAAAATTTCAATGTGTTAGCACTTCTGCCGTGTGTGAGTGCGTGTGTGTGCGTCTGATCTGCTCCGAGGGCCAGCGCTAAGCTTGCCCGCCTCGGCTCCAACTGCACTCCCCCCAACCCGGCGCAGTGGTGGGGGCTGGGTGACTGGACGCTGCCCACAAAATACAGCCTGGAGAGTATCCTGTGAAGCGCTGTGACGGGGTGAGGCACTCAATCAACTGCAAGGATTATTGTTACACACTGAGGTCCCGTCTGCCTGTTGGGTGGACGTTAAAAGATCGCTGCCACCCGTTCGAGAAGTGAAGGGAGTTACCCTCGCAGTGCGGCGGTGGCTGCCAGCACCCCAAACAAAATGGCTGATTCATCTTTCTGGCAATAATAATAATAATAATAATAATCCTTGCATTTGATGCGGAGCCTTACCGCGTGTTCCACCTGCCTCGCCGTGACGGCGCCGGACTACCAACGGCAAGTTGTTTTATGTACCGTTTCTCCGTCGCTCACCGAAGCAAGTCACTGACTTGACTGGTGTCGGGGATGGTTCCTGCGCACTCCGGGTCTGCCTGGATCACTTTCGCCGCTCTGAGGCGAGCGTTGACCGGGGCGGGAGGGGGGAGAGGGGAGCCGTTCGTGCCTGCGTGTGGCGTGAGAAACCCGCGGTGGGGAAGGAGCAAGCGCGGTAAAGTTTGGAAGTTAATAGGTCTCGTCTACTTGCGTTATCGGGTCAATGTGGCTCTTCGGCCGCTCCTGGTTATCCGCACCGACAACGCGTCGCATTGACGTCGCCGCCCGGAGCGCTTGGCGGTCAACGTCCCGGGTAACCGGTGTAACGTTTGCGGGCGCTTTAAATCACATCCGGTGGGGGTTGATCTGCTGGTTAGACAGTGAGAGGTGTGTGTGTGTGTGTGTGTGTCTTTACACAAGTCAGGACAGTGTTACACTGCTCTCTGTTCCCATGGAAACTGTAAACAAACAGGAGGCAGTGAGTGAGGGAGTGAGGGATGGGGTGGAGGAGATGAAACAGACTCCAGGGTTTGTACCCCTAAACCCTCTGCAAAAGTGGTCAGACCTTCGCGGACCATGGCAGCAGAAAGGAGGCAAGATCTACCCTTAACCAGCTCGGGAGTCGGGCTGCGCTACACCCCAGCGAGATACTTCCCTCCGTCTGACTTCAGAGTAAGTGCCTGACAGCCTCTCTAACTCACTTCCTCCCTCACTCACTCCCTCATTCCCTCCCTCGCTCGAACCCTCCTCGGTTGAGCTCAGGAGATTTTCAACAAAAAAAAAGGTTAATGCAGTGGCTCAAACCGTCGCTCTGCGCGGGGACGCACGCTGCTGTGCGCCATTGGCTGCCGCGTTTCGCCCGCGGACTGCGCGGTCGCTACGCTTTGCGGTGGACCCCGCGAAGCACTTTTTCAAGACGCTTTTAAATTTCCGATTAACTTTGCGTTTAAAAAAAAAACGCGGTTGTTTTTTCGCCTCGTTTCAACTCGCAAAACCCACGGTCCGTTCACTTTACAGTGGATCCCGTGAAGGGCTTTTGAGGCGTCTCGAAGACGTGATAAGGCGCCGCGTCAAACGCAGGGCTTATTCTATTACAGTGCCGTCTCTCACGCAGTGCTGTCAGTCGTCGTTTCACAGTCAGTGCTGTTACACTGAGAGTCGCGTTGACTGAAAACGACTGAGGGAATGAGCTGTGGTAAGAGATGATTGAGTAACGGGAATGAATAGCTTCTCGGGAAATGTGTAGGCGCTGGTCAGAGATCCCCTTCGGTCCGATCTGAGGGTCGTGGACAAGATTTCTTCCTTCGATGAGGTCTTCAATCACTTCGAGACCACCACAGGCTCCACGCACAACAACAAGACCCTGCACAGTGTGCTCGACCACCCCAAGCACAAGAAAGGAGCCACACTCGTGAAGGTCCATTACATCAAGGACTTGTCTGAGAAGGTGAGAGACTTGAATACATCCCCCACCCACCGTCTGTCTGTCTGTCTGTCTGTCTGTCACTACTTGGGATCAATGCTGCAATTGTCGTCATGCACTGCTGAACCCGAGCCCCACTCCACTCGACCAGATCAGGGTTAGAGACACAGTTAAGCTCCTCTACACTGTGCGTCCACACTCCCAGATCAGGGTTAGAGACACAGTAAAGCTCCTCCACACTGTGCGTCCACACTCCCAGGTCAGGGGTAGAGACACAGTAACGCTCCCTCTACACTGTGCGTCCACACTCCCAGGTCAGGGTTAGAGACACAGTAAAGCTCCCTCTGTATCCAGCATCACAAAGCAGCTGTACACACAGAGCAAATCTCCTTCCACGCTGTCCTGTCCACGGTTAAACCTCACAACGATATCATTGCTGCTGAGAGGTAGTCTGTGGGGAGCGTGAGATTCGGAGGAGAGAGGTTCGACGTGAGAAAGCGACTGCCGGGATGGTGGAAGGCCAACTGGATGGACTTTGGTCCTCTTCCATCTGGCGAATCCTTACGTTCTTATGTTGTTGGCTGTGTGTTGTTAGCTGAAAGCCCGTTCCTGGGGATCCCCGTTGGCGATGGGGAACCAGACCAGCGAAATGAAGGACAAGTTTGCAGGACAATTGCCCCAGTCCATGCACACGGCCTTCGAAGGTGGACCCCAGCCCTTCGGCCTCGCCAACCACCACACCAACGGACCCAGCAAGGTAACAACACTTACACTGGATACAGGAGCTATCGCATTCAAACCTTAAGAGTCGTCGAGTGTAGTGACTGTGTTTCTTTCAGGTAAATACAGTTGAATGAGTTGATTTTATCTGGGGGATTATTGTGGTCAGAGCCCTTGCCTGGCGAGCGAGAGGACCTGGGTTCGGTTCCCGGGCGGGTCAGGTTGGGGCGAAACCTTAGGCAAGTTTCCTTACTCCACCCCACACACACACACACGCCTCTGTTTACCCAACAGTAAGTAGGAACACGGTTGCTTATCGATTGATTGGCTTCCCGGGGCTAATAATCCCTCAAATTAATAATAATTTGGTCGCTCAATCCACGATTGTTTGTGGGACGCTGACGTCTCCTTGGAGCTGATTTCTTTTGATCAAATTTATTTTGAATTTGGATTAATTTGGAGTTGAAGGAACGAAGGGACGTGGGGGCAAAGGCGGGCGATTGGAGACGAGGTACAGGTCAGTGTGTGTGTGTATAATACGATGGCGGGACAGGCTCGAGGGGCTGAATGGCCTCTTCCTACCCTGATAACCTCTGCCCTGTGACAGAACATCATCGCCAGCACAGAGAACCCTCGGCGGGCGGGGGAGGAGTTCTACGTGAATGATAAGGATGTCTTGCGTCTGAACGAGCCCTACATGTCCGTCACCACCAAGGATTTCCGCCCATATAAAAGGTACCTCTCCTTTGTTTGTTCCCACGCGGATCGATTTCAATATCCTTTCACCGATCACTTCGCGCCTGCGCACACCCACCCCCAGCCTCCGCTCGTCCCCTCTGCTCCACCATCGGCGGCCGTGCCTTCAGTCACTACACTACGCCCCAGAATCTCTCTCTGTCGCTCTCTCTCCCCCAATCCCTCGGCCTTGCCCCCTCCCTCCCTGACATCCGCACCTTCAAATCCCCCCTAAAGACCTTCCTTTTTGATCGGGCTTCCAGTCACCTCCCCTCCCGCACCCCCCTCCCTCTCCCTCTGGCTCGGGGTCGCCACTGTTAAGCGCCCCGGGACGCTACCCCAGGTGAAGGGCGCGGTGTAAATGCAAGTTGTTGTTGTTGTTCTGTTCACTCTGACCCCCGGTTACTGCGTGATCGGATGCGCTTGCTGCGTGCCAGAGCATGTTACCACGTGACTGAGTTACCACGGGACGGAGAGAGGGTTATCGCGGTGGGTGGCGTGTGTTGGTTGTTGCCAGAAATGGTCACTGTGTGTGTCTGTGTGTGTGTGTGTCTCTCTCTCTCTCTCTCTGTGTCTCTGTGTGTATGTGTGTCTCTCTCTCTCTCTACCTGCATGTGTGACTGCGTGTCTCTCTGTGTGTGTGTGTATATGTCTGTTTGTCTGTGTTATGTGTGTGTGTGTGTGTATGTATGTGACTGTGTGTGTGTGTCTCTGTCTCTCACTCAGGAAGGATCTGGAAGGAGTTGCCAAGAAGGACATTGCCACGTATTGGCAGACGGAAGACTACCCTAAGGCTTGGGGTCACGGGCTGAAGGAAAACCCTCTTCCCAAGGATTCCCAGAGGATTCTCCGGGAGACTTGGCCAATGCGAGATGCCATGCAGTTCCCCAATCCCACCCGACTGACTCGCCTGCCCGCACGCCTGGTCCCGGTGCCCAACTTCGGCCTCAGAACCCTCTGCCAGGACTCTTACCAGCCGCCCCGGGACGTCAAACACCGTCAGGACGTGATGTGCCCCCTCTCGGCCCCCTGGGTCCTCCCGCTGGAGGGTCCCGTCCCCGAAATCATGTCGACCCCCAAAATGTACGAGAGCGAGTACCAGACGTATGGCAGCGGCTATCCGGTTACTGTGTAACGGCAACCGCAGAGGAGGGGGAGAGAGAGAGAGAGAGCGAGAGGGAGAGAGACGACTCTCATACACTGTCCTCAACCACCGCACTGGCTTTTATCTCCTTTTCCCCCCCACCCGGTTTCTTTCCCTCTCCCCTCTCGTCCTCTACCTCCCTCTCCCTTCCCTATTTCTTTCCCCCCACTCTCTGTCTCCCCCTTCCCCCATCTCTCCCCCTCTCTCCCTCTCCCTTTTTCTTTCCCCTTTTTCTATCTCGCTCCATCTCCATCTATTACTCCCTCACTCTCTCTCTCTCTCCCTCCAACTCTCCCTCACCCTCCATCTCTTTTTCCCTCCCCTCTCTCTTTCCCCGTCTCCCAATCTCCCTCACTCTCCCCCGCTTTCGTCCTTGCTCCCTCAGCTGTGCTCCCCTCTCCTTCAGTGGGGCTACTTTGCTCTGAGTGCTACCGCCGCTCTCAACTCTGACTCCAACTCAAACACGAACAAGACTATGTATAGCTCACAAAGCTTCATCACCTCTGCCTCTATCCCCGTCCCACGCGCCCCCCCCATTATAAGTCCCTTTCCCTGGGGTCTCCCTTCCCCACACTCCGAGTTGGAGACTTTCCATCGAAGCCTTGCCTCAGGGAAACAGAATAAAGCCTAAATGTTTAGACTGTGGGAGGCTGTTAAATGATAACTTTCCTAACAATCGTTTCCTAATTGTATTTTGTGTACAAATGTGGCTGAGACAGGTGCGCGACCGCGTGCCCGGGGCTGGCCCGCGACCGCGTGCCCGGGACTGGCGCGCGACCGCGTGCCCGGGGCCCACTCGCGACCGCGTGCCCGAGGCAGGGCTGCCTGTACAAACGGTTCTTTCCTTCAGGAACCTTGACCTTGCTATGAATGAGCCGGGAGTGACGCCTTCACCAGGAAACGCAGACAGACGCGCACTTGTCTGCCCATGAGTGAGGATCAGAGTTAATCCCACACCCAATCGCAGAGCGATCTGCCCTTGGTTCTCTCTGCCAACATCAGCCCTCGCGTCCAACTCACAGGAACCCGCTCAGGCTCAATGTGACCTTGTTCATAAATACATTACAGCTCAACTCGGTGTGAGTTGAGTCCCTGGAGCTCAGCGGTTAGAGCCCTCGCCTCGCAAGCGCGAGGACCTGCGATCGATTCCCAGGTCAGGGCGAAACACTGGGCAAGTTTCCTGACTCCCTCCCACCCCCCAACCCCCCCACACACACACACACATATGCCTCTGTTTCCAGCAGTAAATAGGAACCCGCTTGTTAGTTGATTGGCGGATATTCAGGGTGTAATAATCCCTTCAAAATAAAGTTGAAAAAATAATAATTCGGTCACGCAATCCGCGGCTGTTTGTGGGGTCGCCGCTGCGCGCAATCGGCTGCCGCGTTTCGCCCACGAAACACACCGTCAATTCGCTTTACGGCGTTTCCTGTGAAGCGCTTTGAGACGTCTCGAAGAGACGTGATGAGGCGCCGGGTCAAATGCGAGGATTATTATTATTATTACTACTATTATAGGAACCGTGTGCGTGCGGTTCAGATACCTGTGTTAGCGTTGCGGTGCAGAATTAACATACAGTGGGTCAAAAGGGGTCTGAGGTCATGGAACATATGGGGTCAGTACAAGGAAAGAGGGTTGAAGGAAACACGATTGGATATGTTAATAACGGGTTGTAAGCGAATGATAAGAGATTGGAGGAAGGTATGGAGGGAGTGGGGATGAGAGTATAAAGACGGGGAGAACAAAGAAGGAAAGACAGAAGGGAAAGATCGGAGGCGCACGAGGGAAGACTTGATGGAAGATCAAAAAGCTTGAGCACCCAGACGAGACAGATTGGACCCTCGGCTGCGGAACGTCCCGACCCGCGGTAGTATTGCTTTATTGTAAACCCTCCGCGGTGTCATTTTATTTGCCTAAACGGAATACTGGGTGACCTTTCTTGATATCCAACACCTGCTTAAAGCCCTCACTGCCTTTTCCTGTTTAGGCTGCAGTTTCCCCAGTCATAAACAGCTCACACCTACGCAGAGTGAAGCATTAGACGAGGAAAAATTTGCAAGGCAATGGGGTAAGAGGGAGGGAGTGGGGCTGATGGTCAAATTCCTGACTGTCCAGTGCCTTGGAACGTCCTCCCAGCGTGAAAGGCGCTGTGTAGTTATCATGTGTTGCTGCTGTTAAGAGTTTTAAATGCCCTAATAATAAAAACCCAACACTAATAGCCCTTGCATGTGACACAGCCCCTTATCGCGCGATTGAGACGTCTCAAAGCGCTTCGCGGGGTCCACCGTAAAGTGTGGGGACCGTACGTTTAGTGGGTGAAACACGGCGGCCAATTGCGTCCCACAAACAGTCGTGGATTGAGCGAAAATGATAATTTTTGTTTCGAAGGGATCATTACCCCCAGAAAAGCGATCCGTCAATTGACTAACAGAGGTGCGTGTGTGTGCGTGTGGGAGGAGTAAGGAAACTTGCCCAACGTTTCGTTCTGCCCGGGAATCGAACCCGGGTCCTCTCGCTTTCGAGGCGAGCGGTCTAACCGCTGAGATACAGGGACTGCACGTATTGTGCGTCAGAACTGGACAGGGACCAAGCGTTGCTGACTCTCTGTGAGTTAGGTCAGCCCGGCCTCCGCTCGCTGGCAATGCAATCCCTGGACGAACCTTGTGCCTTAATCCAATGGATGTGTTGATGATGCAGGAATGAGGCATTGCCCTGGAAAACACATGTAGAAGCCGTATAAAACCCAGAGCCGTGGCTCGAAGGGTAGAAGGCGTTTCAACCATTGAGAGCAGGTATGTCGCTCTACCGTGTATCTCTCTCTACCGTTACTGCCGGGAGGGAACTCGGGGCTGGGGAGAGCCAGGAATATTCTCTGTCCTGTCATTATTATTATTACTATTACTATTAAGGAGTCCTGTAGCTCAGCGGTTAGAGCGCTCTAGAGTTGAGGCACAGATCGGCCATGATCTGTGAGCATGGCAGCACGGGCTCGAGGGGCTGAATGGCCTCCTCCTGTTCCTATATCCTCTGCCTATTTTCACCGGAACAGAGAAGGTTGAGGGGTTCGCCCGATGTATTTTACGAGGAACGAAGAGGTTCGGGTAAGAGCCGAGAGGAATAAATTATTGTCACTGTTCAGTGACTCGAGGAGTTTAACGTAGATTAGGAGGAATCGTTTTCACACAGTAGTTGTCCGATGAGGTGGATGGTGAAGTGAGGGATGTGATCACGAGGTAGGAGTTGGAGCAATGAAATGAAATATATATATATATATACCTTTTTTGGGTCTGTGTACGTCTCTTGTGTGTGTGTGTCTCGGTGTATGTGTGTCTCTGTGTACGTGTGTGTGTGTCTGTGTGTGTAGGATGGTATCTCCTCAGTTGTTCCTGTTGGCTCTGTGCCTCTGCTGCGTTCAGACTCGACACTTCTGCCGTCTGACCAACATCACCATCTCCGCGGAGAAGGAGGAATGTCCCACCTGTATCACCCTCACCACTTCAGTGTGTACTGGCTACTGCCTGACCAAGGTAATGCCCCGCCCGAGCGTGTGTTGCAATTAGGTGTTAACATTAATCAATGTGAACAATAATCCTTGCACTTGATCTCCTAACGCCTTATCACGTCGCCGAGACGTCTCAATGCGCTTCGCAGGTGGTACCGTAAAGCGCAGTGACCGGTAGATTTTGTGGGCGAAACACAAAACTATTATTAATACACACACTTTAGTGGCCGCAGTCGTCCAGACTCTCTCTCACTCACACATGCGCTCTCACAACACATAGTAACCCCCCACCCCCCAAACCCCCTCTGCCTTGCCCCCATCTTCAGACCTTCCCCTTGGACTGTCCCCCCCACCCCCCACTCGGCCTCACGCACCGTCACTGCTCTGGGTCTTAGCCTGAGGGGGTGCTGTGCGCGTGTGCTTGTGTGTGTGTGTGCTTGTGTGTGTGTGTGTGCGCGCGTGTGTGAGCCTGGGCTGTATCTGTTTGCAGGAGTCTGTGTATAAGAGCGCTCGCCTCTCCATGTACCAACACGTCTGCACGTACGGGAAGATCGAGTACCATTCGGTCAAACTTCAAGGCTGTCCCAAAGGTGTGGACCCCAACTACACGTTCCCGGTCGCCATCAGCTGCGAATGCAACCGCTGTAGAATGGATTACACCGACTGCGCTCTGCAGAGCATCCGACCAGACTTCTGCAGTGTTCGAAGGGGAAACCAGTGAGACAACTCCCCCCCACCCCCCCCTCCCCGTCTCCTCTACCGCTCACTTACACACCCGCGCACACACACACACACTTCCTGCTCACGCTTACACATGCACCCGAGTGCGTGCACGACTTGCACGTTCCTGTAGACAGTGATACACGCGCACACACACGTACTCGCACACTCTGAACCACTAACACACACACACACTCTCTCTCTAACACACTCTCAAACACCACCCCCACCTCAGACACACACACACACTCAAACACCACCTCAGACACACACACACTCAAACACCACCCCCACCTCAGACACACACACACTCAAACACCACCCCCACCTCAGACACACACACACTCAAACACCACCCCCACCTCAGACACACACACACACACACTCAAACACGACCCCCACCTCAGACACACACACACTCAAACACCACCCCCACCTCAGACGCACACACACACACTCAAACACCACCCCCACCTCAGACGCACACACACACACTCAAACACCACCCCCACCTCAGACGCACACACACACACACTCAAACACCACCCCCACCTCAGACGCACACACACACTCAAACACTACCCCCACCTCAGACGCACACACTTGCTGACACAGCAACGCTTGGCAAACAGAAAGCAAACTCCATTTATTAAAGTTAAGGGAACGTTAACATTTATTGTACAAAAAAACCCACCATTTCAGTGTAAAACAGAACGTGAAACTGCAAACAAGTGACCACCCGCCAGAGCCCGGCCTCGCACCCCCCCCCCGGCCCGTCACGAAACCTCCATCGACTCCGTCTCTGTAACACAGCAAAGGATGACGGTGAAGAGGGTCTTCCAGACACCCAAACCCAGCTCCCCCCCCCCACCCCGAACAGTGACCTCTCCTATTCCCCCTCACACTCATACACACACACCACACAGACATGTCTCCCAGCCTCCTCCACCCCCATCACCCCCACCCCACCCCGCCGTCAAGAGTCTGCTCATAGCCCCATCTTCTGGGTGGGGGGGGTGGGGGGGAAGAGGACCTGCACAGGGCTGCCCACACTGTGATGGGCTGAGGGAGGAAGGGGCTGTGAGGGAGGGGCTGAGAGCCACGGAGGGAGAGATATTCATTGTGTAAATTCCTGCAACTGTAAATAAAACACCCAACTTTCTCTCTCTCTCATTTTGTCTGTCTTCTCCCACTTACCTCTCCACCGCACAACACACGCCAACCGCTCAAATCGGACCATGCAACACACACGCACTGTTCGATCCAGATCATACAACACACATGCGCTGTATCAAATCAGACAACACACTCTCCCGCTCGAGGCTGAACTCACTCATTTCGTTGAACATGAAGGCGTCCTGGTACTCCTTCATGTACTGAGTGGAGCGCGACTCATCCAGGAAGAGGGAGTAAACCCTCTTAATGTCATCCACCTGCACCTCAGTGCCCTGTACAGCCAGAGAGACAGGGTCAGCAAGAGAGAGACACATACACACACACACACACACACAGACAGAGAGACACACACACAGACAGGGAGACACACACAGACAGGGAGACACACACACACACACAGACAGAGAGACACACACACACACAGACAGGGAGACACACACAGACAGGGAGACACACACACAGACAGAGACACACACACAGACAGGGAGACACACACACCCACACACACACACACAGACGGAGAGACTCACACACACACACACACAGACAGAGAGACACACACAGACAGGGAGACACACACACACACACACAGAGACACACACACAGACAGGGAGACACACACACACAGAGACACAAACACACAGACAGAGAGACTCACACACACACACAGACAGAGACATGCACACAGAGACAGAGAGAGACAGACGGAGATAGAGGGACAGACAGAGCTAGAGAGCGAGAGGCTCAATAGAGAGACAGAGAGGAACAGCAAGAGGTAAAGTCAGCGAGAGAGACAGACAGACAGAGAGGTACAGAGACACACACACAGAGACAGCGACATTCACACAGACAGACAGACAGACAGACAGACAGACAGACAGACAGACAGACAGACAGACAGACAGACAGACAGACAGACAGACAGACAGACAGACAGACAGACAGACAGACAGACAGACAGACAGACAGACAGACAGACAGACAGACAGACAGACAGACAGACAGACAGAGGGTGTGTGGGTGAGGCCGGGCCTTACTTTGCGTTTCTTACAGACCAGGTTGGCGGCTGTGATGAGTTGGATGGAGTACCTCAGTGAGGTTTCCAGGCCGATTCGGGTCAGCACAGTGTAGGCGTCCTCGCCCATCTCCACATCTTCCTCTTCGCACCTACAGGAGGAGGGACACGATGGGGGGGGTGGGGTGTGTCAAGTCATACAGCACCCCAACACCAACTTGCATTTACACAGCGCCCCCTCACGCGCCTGACAGCGGCCAAATGGGGGGGAGGGAATGGGGAGGTGACCGGCGAAGAGGAAGGTCTTCAGAAGTGATCTGAAGAGGGAGGAGGAGGGAAGGGGGCAAGGCGGAGGGATAGAGGGAGAGAAGAGTGTTCCGGGTCGGGGGTGGGGGGGTGGGGGTCCCTGCCAAACCAACCCGCAAAACCTGGCACATTAATAATAATCCTCGCGTTTGACGCAGCGCCTGATCACGTCTTCGAGACGTCTCAAAGTGCTTCACAGGACACACTGTAAAGTGAAGTGACTGTATATTCCTGGGCGAAACGCGGCAGCCGATTGCGCCCAGCGACGCCCCCACAAACAGCCGCGGATCGAAGTGACCAATTTCTTATTATTTTATTGTTTCCGAAGGAATTAATACCCCCCGGAAAAGCGATCCCCCGGTCGACTAACAACTGGGTTCCTACTCACTGCTGGTAAACAGAAGCGCGCGCGCGCACGCGTGTGTGTGTGTAGTAAGGAAACTTGTCTAAGGTTAACTCCTGACCTGCCCGGGAATCGAACCCGGGTCCTCTTGCTTGCGAGGTGAGGGCTCTAACCGTTGAGCTACAGGGACTCCCGCGGCGGAACCCCGGCCTGACCTGATCTTGAGGATCTGTTTGGTCTCCTTCTCGTTGTAGGGTGAGGTGGAGATAATGACAAGACGATCCAGCAAATCGATGGGGATTCCGTGAGGACTTTTGTAGCTGGTGCCACGGATCCTAACACACAACAGACGAGACATGTTACGTTAGTCAGGGCTCTGTCCTGGGGCAGCCGTCGGCTATTGAAGGTAGTTTTCCAAACACGGGTGAGACAGGAGTTCGGCCGTTAGGAAGGTGGAAGGAGAACTAGAAGGGTCTTGGTCTTTCTTTTGTCTCGAACTTCTTATGTTCTTATTTACTCAGAGAAGGAGAGAGACGAAGATGTAGAGAAACGAGACAGAGAGAGAGAGAGACAGACACATACACACAGAGGGAGAGAAGAGAAAGAGAGATGAAACTTGCGAGACAGAGAGAGAGAGTTTGCAAGAGAGGACAGAGAGAGGGAGAGAGGACAGAGAGAAATGAGAGAGACAGAGGGAGACGCACAGTCGCAAAGAGAGAGATGAAGCTTGCGGGACAGAGAGAGGTATAGAGTAAGAGAGAGCGAGTGAGATAGAGCGCGAGAGTGGACAGAGAGAGGGCCCCAAAAACAGAAAACACCCCCCCCCCCACCACTCCTCTTACAAGAGGCCAGAGAGAAACAAACCGAGACAGAGAGAGAGAGAGAGAGAGAGAGAGAGGAGACAGGCTGCTCTGCGCTGCACTGCCTGACCTGGTGATTCCCCTGTTGGTCGCCATGATGAGCACAGGAGCCATGTCGCTCTCCAGCCCCCGGTTCAGGAAGGAGAAACACTCGATGTCCAACATGTGAACCTCATCGATGAACAGCACCTGGAGCGGCAGGAGAAGGGGAGACAGGATGAGAGGGGATGCGGAGCAAAACTGGCCCTCGCCAGTGCCACGGACACTGGGCACGGACACAGACACACGCACCCCCAGTCCGAATTGCTCTGTGTTTGGCCCCAAAATACCCAGTCACTCCACTTGACAGTATAAATCCCGTGAAGCGCTTTGAGGCGTCACGGCGCCATGATGAGGCGCTGTATCAAATGCAAGGATTATCATCATGTCATTTGCCAACAGAAAAACAGTCACTCCGCGAGACTGTGACGCTTGGAGGTGATGCGCGGCTACAGTCGGCCTCTGTGCCTTACCCCGGGAATGATCTCTGCTTTTCCCTCCTCCCTCCACTCCGCCACCTTGGCGTTGATCTGCTCCCGGACCTCGGATTTGATCTCCCCGGTGTCACCTGTGGAAAAATCCAACACGGTAAACCCCCCCCTCCTCAGTCAGACTCCATCCTACAGATACACACTGACGTACGTCCTGCCTCCCTACTAAAACAGGAGTCGCTGGGAACACTCAGCAGGTCAGGCAACATCTGATGGACTTGTTTTATTTTTTGGTGAGGGGGGGGGTAGTCTGACACGCACGGAAACCCGTCACCGTGACCGGCCGGGTGTCTGACACTCACGGAAACCCGTCACCGTGGCTTAAGAGTCTCCAAACCCAACTGAGAATTCCCCACATCCCCCCCACACCTGGAAACCCCAGAGATAAGATGGTTGGAATGGAATGCGCTCTCTCTCTCTCTCTCCCTGGAGGGACGCGCCCTGCTCACCTAATTCCGGAGAGTATTAGGCGCAGGTTGGCGAGAGCCCAGGCTTGTGGGGGGAAGCCCAAAGTGTGCGTTGGGGGGAACTGCTGGAGTCTGACCAACTAAAACCGCATCGCTTGCCATTAGGAGCGCTGTCTGGCCAAGCTTTCCCGCTGCGGGAGGAAGCTTTCCCCTGAGGGGGAGGATTCCCTGCCCCCAGTGAGACTGGTCTGTCCTTCCAGGTCCTGCCGATGAGCCGGGCCGGGCTGGGCTGCCATCAGCAGTGAGATAGGGAGGTGCCAGGGGCGTGAAGGGGTTTGAAGGCGAGCGAGTGGACCTGGAAGTCGGGGTCTTACCGGAGAAGAGGGCGAGGAAGCCTTGTGTGCGACTGTTGATGACGTCGATCTCGTGCAGTGTCACTGTGTGAACCACCTCCTTTCGTTTCTGCAGCTCCCCGTCTGGGCACTGGACAAACTTGGTCTGCGACAGAGACTCGCTCGGTTACCGTCGAACATGTAGACAATGTGCCTGCGGACACCTACTGCATCTCAACGCTCCCCGAGTTAGGAGGGTGCCTCTCACCTCTCCACCCCCCCACACCCACCCCACTCCCACACCCTCCCCTCCCACTGGAGTCAGGAGTGAAAAGAAGACGGCTGGTGAGAGCAGCGACAACACACGACATTTACACGGCATCTTTCACGTTGGGAGGACATCCTAAGGCGCTGGACCGTCGGGGATTTGGACCCGAGCTGGGGTTTGGGATTAGGAGGTGGTGGGGGTGCAGGAAGGTGGGGGGGGGAGGGGGGTGTAAGAGGGTGACCGAAGGCGCGGTCGAAGAGGAGGGTCTTGAGACTGGCCTTGAAGGAGCCGAGGGAGGGAGAAAGTGAGGGAGGGAGGCGAGGGAGGGAGGGAGAGAGGGAGGGGGGGGGAGCAGGTGCTGAGAGCTGGCGTTGGTTTCCCTGTGACTCACCTGAGCTCCCATTGCGTCGTAATCCCGAGCTCGTGTGAAGGATCTGCCCAGTTTGCTGATCTTCCCGGTGGCCTTATCAATGGTGATCACGTCCCTGGGAGAGAAGACGTCAGTCAGCAGGGAGTTTACCCTCAGCCTGGGAACCCACTCCCTCCCTCCTGTTCCTCCATTACCCCTTCCTCACCCCAGTCCCTCCCTCCCCCATTGCCCAGGAACAGCCTCCTCGCCCCCCCCCCCCCCCACCCGCCCACCCACAGCCCCAGTGCCCACCCCAGCTCCACCACCAGTCCGCGCCCCGCAAGGCCCCACCTACCCCGCCTGCACCTTCTCCTTTGTCAGGCACTCGATCATTTTCGTGCCCAGGTCATAAATGGTCTCCATCTCGGTGGTTTTCAGCGTCAGCTTCCCCACCTTCGCCCCCTGGGAGCAGAGTAACACAGTGAGGCTGCCCGGCTTCGAGCAGGAGATTCACACACAGCGGCGTCCCACAAACGACCAATATTATCTGGGGTATTTGGGGGTGGGAGGGGGAATTGTCGGGAGAGAGAGAGAGAGAGCGAGCGAGAAACTAGAGGGATCTTTAACCTCGAACAGGGAGGACGTCCCAAAGCTCTGGACAGTCAAGAAATTTGGACCCGAGCTGGGGGTTGGGATCAGGTGGGGTTCAGTTTAACGACGGCGACAAATTATAGGCCAGAAAGCTGCGACGTCTCATCTAACGCTCGTCTGACAACTCCGACAAGGTCGAACGAACAAACTAAGCGAGATTTCAACAGCCCGACATTGCGGGGCTTGAACCGTCCAATGCCTGTCCCCCAGGACGAGAGTCTGTTATTATTAATAATAATATTAATCCGTGGGTTTCACGCAGCGCCTTATCGCGGCTTCGAGACGTCTCAAAGCACGGGGTGACTGCGTATTTTGTGGGCGGGCGAAACGCGGCAGCCGGCTGCGCACAGCAACGTCCCCACAAACAGTCGTGGATCGAGTGACCGCGTTATTTTTTTTGGGGGGGGGGGTGGTGAGGGCCTTTACAAAGGGGGTTCGTGGCCAGTCCTCCCGAGAGGGCAGACTTACGGTCCCGGTGGCTGGTCGGTCGATCTGGATTTCCACGACTTCCCCTTCGATGATTTCCGTTTCTTCCCTGCCCAAAACAAGCGGAAAAAAGATTTAACCAGCGGAACATCCGACCAAGTCACTTCACATTTACACGGCGCCTTTCAAGGGATTCAAGCTGGGGGTTGGGATCAGGAAGGGGTGGAGGGGGGGGGGGGTGGGAGGGTAGGGGCGCGTAGGAGGGTGACCGAAGGCGCGGTCGAAGAGGGGGATCTTGATACAGGCCTTGAAGGAGGCGGGAGAGGGTGGGGGTGAGGCGGAGGGACTGTGGGATAGAACTCCAGAGAGGCTGAACGGGGTACGTACTTGATGCGGACCCCAATGGACCTGCGGAAGGCCTGCGTCAGGGCCTCTGTCTTGCTCATTTCCAGGGAGAAGATCTCTGAGCCGGCGATGGAAGTGAACGGTGTGTCCTGTCCCAGAGCCTGAGCCATTCCTGCAGCGAACATAAGACGGTTACACATCACCGACGACAACAACAACTTGCATTCACACAGCGACCCCCTGTGGAGGGAGAGGGGGGGGGGGGGAAGGTCTTCTGGCGTGACCTCAAGGTGGGGAAGGAAGGAAAGTGTGGTTGGGTTGTGGGGGGGGGGAGGCGGAGGGATTCAGGGAGAGAGTTCCAGGATTTCGGGGCGACTGCCGATGGTGGAACATATACTGTAAAGTGTAGTGACTGTGTGTATTTTTGTGGGTGATACTGTGAGAGGGAAACTCCCTTCTGTTTTCCAACAGCACCGTGGGGGATGTTTGTTGAACAGGACACAGACGGGGGGGGTTTAATGTCTCATCTGCCCTGCACTGCCAGCCTAGACCGGGAGCTCAAAGACCTGAGGTGGGGCTCGAACCCAGGAGCTTGTGACCCAGAGGTGAGAGAGAGAGATCGTACCCATGGCGATGGCGGTTTTGCCTGTTCCGGGCTGGCCGGCGATCAGGACAGCTCTCCCCGCAATCTTCCCCTCCTTGATCATCTCCAGAATCACGCCAGCCGCTCGCCGGGCACTCAGCTGCCCCACCATCCCCTGCGAGACCTGGGGCGCGGAACAGCAGCTCGTCACGAGAGAAAGAAACATCAACGGCAACGACAACGACTCGTAGCGTCGCTGAGTGCTTGACGGTGGCGGAACGCGACTCCGAGCCGGGGGTGGGAGGAGGCGACCGAAAGCCCGGCCGAAGAGGAAGGTCTTCAGGCGTGATCTAAAAGAGGGGAAGGAGGGGCGATGCGAGGGAGGGGATCGAGGGACGAAGGACAAGCAGGAGGCCTGAGCCAGCCGAGGGGAGGTAGCGGGTAGGGGGTGGCGGAGGAAGCAGCTCGGAAAAGTCGGGAGGTGCCACAGGGCGTGAAGGGACTTGAAGACGAGTGAGAGGGTCTTGAGATCAATCCGTTCTGTGGTAGGGAGCCAGTGGAACCTGGCGATGGCTGGGGTGATGGGGGTACGGGGTTCAGTGTGTGTGATAGGGAGCCAATGGAGGATGCCCCCCAATTAACAGCCAATAGCCCCACCCATACCCATTGATATCCTTCTTCCTGATACACTTCGATTCCCCCTCCCATCTCCCCTGATACTTGACAAACAGAGACCTTTCCCCCCCCACCCCATTATACAACGCCCTCACCCCCTTCCCCACCCCCTACCACCACCCCACACAGGAGACTCCGTACCTGTCTTGGCTCCAAGGCATCATCGAGTCCCAGGCCACGGATGTGGGAATGGGCACCTGTAGGGCAAAGAGAAAGGTGAAGCGGGACTGGACCACAGGCAACAGCAGCAACAAAATTACACTTGAAAAGCGAGTGCCCTTCACCTCACGAGGACGTCCCAAAGGGCTGGAAGTCGGGGGGTTTGGGGACCTGAGCTGGGAGTTGGGGTCAGGAGGGGTGGAGGGCAGTGGGGGTGGGAGTGTGGTCAAAGGTACAGTCGAAAGGAAGGTCTTTAGACGGAACTCGAAGGAGGCACGAGAGGGGGTGAGGCGGAGGGATTGCGGGACAGAGCTCCCGGGTATGGGGGCGCGGGAGGGGGGAGGGGGGGCAGAGAGGCTGAATGCTCGACCGCAAATGGTGGGGGCGGGAAGCGCGGGGGAACCTGAAGCAGGCCGGTGTCTGCCGAGCGGACAGGCTGACACGAGGCTCTCTCCTCCCTCCCAACCCCAACTCACCGATCCGCTCGATTCTGGTGACATCCCTCACCTCGGGAACCTTGGTGGTCGTCTGAGTAGAACAGGAGACAGTCAAGAACGTGCGGAGGGTATACGGCAGGCTTCGACGCTCAGCAGCCCTGCTGCGCACTGCCTGTAGCCCAGTGGTCGGAGCCCTCGCCTCGCAAGGGCGAGGCACCCGGGTTCGATTCCCGCGCGGCGCGAAACCTTGGGAAAGTTTCCTTGCTCCCCACGCTCACGCGCGCGCTCTCCGTTTACCCAGCAGTAAGCAGGAACCCGGCTGTTAGCCGACCGGCGGGTCGCTTTCCTGAGCGATAACCCCTCCCGAAAATAAATGAATAACATTAAGAATAACAACTCGGGTCATTTCGTCCGCGAAACACGCAGTCAATTCACTTTACG